CTGGTGCCATGCGGTGCAGCCAGGGGCCGAGCTGGGGTCCTGGGCGCGGGCGGCACTGGTGTCAGCGCGGTCTCCCCCCCTCTCCCATTCCCCCCGCAGTCCGAGGAGCGCTCGGTGCTCTTCGCCGTGGCCTCGGCGCTGGTGAACTGCACCAACAGCTACGACTACGAGGAGCCCGACCCCAAGATGGTGGAGCTGGCCAAGTACGCCAAGCAGCACGTGCCCGAGCAGCACCCCAAGGTGAGGCCGGGAGGAGCCGGGGGGAGGCGCTTCCCGGGACCGTGGCCCGGGGCACCCACAGCAGACCAGCCTCACCTTAGGGGGTTTCTCCCCTTTGTTAGCATGTCCGTCCATCCGTGCTGTGAGGGGGTCCCCTCTCCCTGGCTAATGAGCCCACCCCCTTTTGTTCTCTTTTAATACACTTTAGTGATTTTTCACAGAGAGGAAGGGAGAGGATAGAGAGTTAGAAACATCGATGAGAGCTGAAACCGGTTTGACTCAGTGGTAGAGTATCGGTCTGCGGACTGAAAGGTCCCAGGTTCGATTCCGGTCAAGGGCATGTACGTTGGTTGCGGGCACATCCCTGGTTGTGGGTGTGCAGGAGGCGGCTATTCAATGTTTCTCTCTCATTGACGTTTCTGGCTCTCTATCTCTCTCCCTTCCTCTCTGTAAAAAATCAATAAAATATATATTAAAAGCAAAACAAAACAAACAAAAAAACATCGATGAGAGAGAAACATCCATCAGCTGCCTCCTGCACACCCCCCACTGGGGATGGGCCCGCAACCAAGGCACATGCCCTTGACCGGAATGGAACCTGGGACCCTTCAGTCCGCAGGCCGCTGCTCTATCCACTGAGCCACACCGGTTTCGCCTGAGCCGAGCCCCTTGCTAAGCCGCCTCCCTCCCCAGGACAAGCCGAGCTTCGTGCGGGCCCGGGTGAAGAAGCTGCTGGCCGCGGGCGTGGTGTCCGCCATGACGTGCATGGTGAAGACGGAGAGCCCCGTGATGACCAGCTCCTGCCGGGAGCTGCTGTCCAGGTGAGCCGCGCCGTCCGAGGGGGCAGGGCCCGGGGCCGCCCCTCCCCTGAGCCCGCCCCCCACCGCCGCCTTCTCCCGCAGGGTCTTCCTAGCTCTGGTGGAGGAGGCGGAGGACCGAGGCACGGTGGTGGCCCAGGGCGGGGGCAAGGTGAGCCGTCCGCCCTCCCTCCCTCCCTCCCTCCCTCCAGGGTCTCCCCTGCAAAGCCTGACTCCTGGTCAGTGTCAGATGTGGAGCAAAAAGCATTATAATGGGCCCTGGCCAGCCCGGCTCAGTGGGCAGAGCGTCGGCCTGCAGACTGAAGGGTCCCGGGTTTGATTCCCATCAAGGGCACATGCCCGGGTTGCGGGCTCGGTCCCCAGCAGGGGGCGTGCAGGAGGCAGCCGATCAGTGATTCTCTCATCATTGATGTTTCTTTCTCTCTCTCTCCCTCTCTCCCTTTTTCTCAGAAATTAAAAAAAAAGAGCATTATAAACTGGGGTGGGTGGGGAGGAAGGCCCTGCTGTTGAGTGGGTGATGCTAAAGGGCTGGGTCTCCTGTGAAGATGCTGAGTTAGCTTTTCCCTGTGTGTCCTGGACCTCCTTAGCCCCCTGCCCGGCCCAGCCATGTCCAGCCCTTACATGGTGTTTCAGGAAGTGCCTGGGTGGCCTAATGGGACCTCAGAGGCGATGGACGAGGGTCTGAGCCCCGTGATCGGCAAGCCTTGGTGGGGTGCAGCGTGGGGAGGGGGCGGGGAGAACAGTGAGGCGCGCAGTCGGGGCCTCGGGGCCTGGCAGCGTGGGCCTCGCGCCCGGGCTCGCCGTGACCCCCGAGGGCCTGTCCCCGCAGGCTCTGCTCCCGCTGGCCCTGGAGGGCACGGACGTGGGGCAGACGAAGGCGGCCCAGGCCCTCGCCAAGCTCACCATCACCTCCAACCCCGAGATGACCTTCCCTGGAGAGCGGGTGCGTGTCCTCCTCCCGGCCCGGCCCCCGCCCCCCCCCTCGCTGGGCCCTGGCGGCCTCTGACCCGCGCTGGCGGCTCCTCCTCGGGACCCACAGGAAGTGGGACGGGGCGGGCGGCCTGCTGCTGGTGTGTGTGTGTGTGTGTGTGTGTGTGTGTGTGTGTGTGTCCGTGGGCTGGCGGGGGCTGGGCCGGAAGCCCTGACAGCAGGGGCCACGTCGCAGGTCTATGAGGTGGTCCGGCCCCTCGTATCCTTGCTGCACCTCAACTGCTCAGGCCTGCAGAACTTCGAGGCGCTCATGGCTCTCACCAACCTGGCGGGGATCAGCGAGAGGCTGCGGTAAGGGGGCTCCTCCTCGGGGTGCGGCCTGGGCGGGCTTCAGGGCGCAGGTTACCCCCCCCCCCCCCCCCCCCCGGGAGCACCTTGCCGTCTGGAAAGCAGTCTTTTTTTGTCATTTTATTGGTTTGTTTTTTGTTTTGTTTTTTTACAGAGAGGAAGGGGGAGAGAGGGTTAGAAACCTCAATGAGAAAAACATTGATCTGCTGCCTCCTGCACGCCCTCTACTGGGGATGTGCCCGCAACCAAGGTACATGCCCTTGACCGGAATCAAACCTGGGACCTTTCAGTCTGCAGGCCGACGCTCTCTCCACTGAGCCACACCGATTAGGGCTGGAAAGCAGTCTTTGTGCTTGTATATGTGAGAGCCCTCTTCATGCCGCCGAGGGGATAGTTCCATGAGGTCTGGGTTCTCAGCCATGGACTGGCCCGTAGGGCTCAGCGGATGGAGTGTCAGCCTGCAGCCCGGAGGGTCCCGGGTTCGATTCCGATCAAGGGCATGTACCTCAGTTGCAGGCTTGTTCCCCGGCCCCAGTCAGGGCACATGTGGGAGGCAAGCAACGATGTGTCTCTTTTACATCGATGTTTCTCTCTGTGTCTCTCCCTCTCCTTTCCACTCTCTTTAAAAACACACACACACACACACACACACACACACACACACAAAAATCAATGGAAAGGTATCTTTGGGTGAGGATTAATGAAAAGAAGAAGAAAAAAAAAAAGGGTATTGGCCATAACTGCAGGCTCCAGAGTCAACTGCCTGGGTTCGAATCCTGGTTTCTCTGGTTACTGGCGTGTAACCTCACCCAAGTTACTTCATCACCCCATGCCTCGGTTTCCCCTCTGTGAAGCGGGATGGTTGTAGTACCTGCCTCGTCGAATCGTGGTGAAAAGAATCCAATGAGAAAGAACATCTAAAAGCTCTTAACGCGAAGGTGCCTGGCTCCCAGCGATGTGCCCGGCAGATGCGTATTAGCTGTTATTACTTACGCCCAGCTCGCTCCACAGCCTTGGCTTTCTCTTCCGCAAAGTAGTCATGCCAGTCACACCAGCAGGGGGCGTGGGGAGGCTGAGGTCAGACAGCCCGAGGGCCAAGTCCGGGCTAGGGCTCCAGGTCCGTGCCAGCAGCGCCATCACCCCCACCCTTGGCCCTGAATTCCTCATCCAGAGCCTTTCCCACGGTCCCACGTGAGCTCCCAGGCCTGGTGAGACGGTTGGAAGCCACTGCCGTTCACACCTGGTGCCGGAGGGCCCGTGGACACGGCCCCGGGAAGCCCGGGGTCCGGATGGCATGGGGACACCCCAACCCGCCCGCCCTCGGCCCCGCAGGCAGAAGATCCTGAAGGAGAAGGCCGTGCCCATGATCGAGGGCTACATGTTTGAGGACCACGAGCTGATTCGCCGCGCGGCCACGGAATGCATGTGCAACCTGGCCATGAGCAAGGAGGTGAGGCGCGCCCCCGGCCGGCCGGCCCGGGGGCAGGGAGGGGTGCAGACGGGCCGTGCTGAGCGGGCATCGCCCCCCCCCCCCCCCCGCCCTCTTCTGGCCGCAGGTGCAGGATCTCTTCGAGGCCGAGGGCAACGACCGCCTGAAGCTGCTGGTGCTGTACAGCGGGGAGGAGGACGAGCTGCTGCGACGGGCGGCGGCCGGGGGCCTGGCCATGCTCACCTCCCTGCGGCCCTCCCTGTGCAGCCGCATCCCCCTGGTGGTCAGTGCCTCTCCTGGAGGGCGAGGGGGGGCGGGCTCGGCCCCGGCTCGGCATCGGTGGGTGGCTGTGCCCCCTGCCGGGCTCTGCCTGTGGCTCGGAGCTCACCCGACTGTCCCCCCGCAGACCACGCACTGGCTGGAGATCCTGCAGGCCCTGCTCCTGAGCCCCAGCCAGGAGCTGCAGCACCGGGGCGCCGTGGTGGTGCTCAACATGGTGGAGGCCTCGCGGGAGGCGGCCGGCGCCCTGATGGAGAGCGAGGTGCTGGAGATCCTGTCCGTGCTGGCCAAGGGCGCCGAGGGCCCCGTCTCCAAGGCGGCCGCGGCGTGCCTGGGGAAAGCCGTGGAATACGGGCTCATCAAGCCCAACCAGGACGGGGAGTGAGGGGCTGTGGGCACCACCGCGCTTCGCAGCCCAGGGGACCAGCAGCCAGGGGACCAGCACAGCAGCTGTGGCCAGGGGGGCTGGGCTGCCCTCTGAAGCCCTCTGTCCTAAGTCAGGGGCCACACTCCACAGCCCTGCTGCACCAGCACTACCTCCGGCCTCATGCAGAGGGCTTTCCTGCCACCACAGACACTGGCACAGACGGGGCACTGCTCACCCAGCCAGGGCTCCCACAGCCAGCGGCACATCCTCACAGGCAGCGAGCATCACCGAGCCGCTAGCAGGACTGCCCGCCCCAAATAAAAGCGTGTGGAACTCAAGCGTGTGCCTGGAGGAAGGCCGGCTGCGAGTCCGGCTCTGGAGCAGGAGCTGGTGGGCCCAGTGCCCCCCGTGGGAGCCACTCTGCCAAGGAACCCCATGGATTCCCCATCCCGGGCCAGTGGGTCGCTGCGTAATCCCGTTGGAGGCTCAGGGGCTAAGCCTGGAATCGAACCAATAAACAAAGGAATGGGTACAGACTCCCGGGTTACAGACTCAGCGGCCACACTCAGTGCTGGGGCTCGGGTGGGCGTGTCCCCGGGCTGTTCCTCCCGCCCCTGGGCCGGCGGGCCACGCCCATCCGAAGCTCATTGGCTCATCGGGATAGATGACAAATCTCGGAGCCAATGGGAGGTTTGGCGGCGGAGGCGCCCGCCTACTGCAGCTGCTTCCGGTCGGGCAGCAGTCCAGACGGCGTGAGGGAGCCTGGGCGGTGGGGTGCTCCCTCCCTCGGGTCGCTGCTCGCCACTCTTTCATCTCCGGTCCTTAGGGAGCCCCCTGGGCTTCTAGTCTGTGCCCCGCGGCGGCCGGGACCCACGCCCACCGGAGGTTCGCCCACTTAGCAGCTTGCGACCGACCGCAGGCACCGAGGTGAGCACCGCCCGGGCGCTGACGTCACAGCCGTGCGACAGTCAATGGGCGCCTCGCACGGCGCGGGCTTTCCTAGCTGCACCCCCTGCGCGGTCCGCAGGCCCTGGGCAGGTGACCCCTTCCTGGGTGCCTCCCGCCCCCCGCCCTGCATTCTGCCCCCCGGGGGGGCTGCCTGAGGGGATGGAGGGCACCGGGTCAAGATCAGTCATCCCGTGCGCCGGGGTGGACCCGGAAGGAGTTAGGGACCCAGGTCCGAGGCTAGGAGCTTTGGTCTCAGGGGAGACCCAGGATCCGACCCCAAAGTTCTGATCACGCTGCACGGGAAAAGCGGGGTGCTGCTGTAAACCCTGGATGCCTGTCTTCTCCACCGATGTGTGGGCTCCTTGGGACAGACAGCCGTCCCTCTCGGGCCAGAGTAAAAAGATCAATACATGGGTGCGGAATGAATAAAAGACTAGATGGGGTGCAGTTGAGAATGTGCTTATAGAGGTCCCTGGAAACCCTACAAGCACCCGGTCATTTCAATCTATTCGACGGACTGGATGGAATGGTTGTGGCAGCCCTCGAACCCTTTATTTGCACCCAGTCCACAAAAGGGTTACAAATATCCCCCCCTCCCCCACCTCCGCCTTTGCCAAACCAAAGAAACGGAATTGAGCCCAGAGAGCTTAAGCATAGCTGAGGACACAGGCCCTGCCAGCTGCAGAAGCGAACATGTGAACCCGGGATTGAGGGGGGAGGGAGGAGAGGAGGGCTGACTGTCTCCCTGTGGCTTACAGCTCAGATTCTCGTCCAAGGCCCGAGGAAGAGGGCGCTTAAAGCCCGTGGGCCCACTTTGTGGGACGCTGAGCTTGCTTGAGCCAAAAGGGAGGACAGGGACATGGCCCCACTCCACGCAGCTGAGTCCTCCTGAGCCTGGTGGGACCTGAGCCGAGGCTCGGCTCCGCGGACGTGTGGAATGGCCGCCGTCTCGCTCTGTGGTCAGGGGGGTGGTACTCTCCCCTTTCACAGGTTCAGCCAAGGGCCGCCTGCGAACGAGGTTCCAGTCCTGGCGCCTGCCCAACCGGGTGGCGGCCAGCAGAGCGCGCCCGCGGGCATGGCCGAGGAGCGCCCAGGGTCCTGGTTCGGCTTCGGTTTCTGCGGCTTCGGGCAGGCGCTGGGCTCGGGCCGCGGGCGCCAGGTGCTCAGCCCCGAGCCGCTGCGCGTGCCGGACGCGGGCACCGACATCTGCGACATCGGCAGCCTAAGCGCCGCCTGGAGCTACACCGCCATCGTGAGCAGTGAGCACCCCGTCCCTTTCCGGGTCTGCCCCTCCCGGCCACGCCCACTCCAAATTCGGCCCTGCCCACTCCGCAGTCAGGCCCCGCCCCCGCTATGTGTCCCCGCCTCCTGTCCAACCCGCTCCCTTCAAGGCCCCGCCCCTCTACGTTCCCCGCCTCCTGCTCTCCTGCTCACCTGCTCTCCTCCAGGCCCCGCCCCCGTTATGTGTCCCCGCCTCCTGTCCAATCCGCTCCTCTCTCGGCCCCGCCCCTCCAACCTGGCCCTGCACCCTAGGGCCCGCCTCCTGCTCCCCTCCAGGCCCCGCCCCTGCACGTGTCTCCGCCTCCTTACCCGCCCGGGCGTGACGTCGGCCCAGTTCAGCCAATCCGCTCCCCTCCAGACCCAGCCCCTCCCTCCAGGCCCCGCCCCCGCACGTGTCCCCGCCTCCTCAGCCCGCCCTTCCCTCAGGTGCGGGCCGGCTGCTGCTGTCGGGCTCGGCGCGGGGCGCGGCGGACGGCTGCCGGGACGCGTGGGCCTCGGAGACGCTGCGCGCGGTGCTGCGCGACGGGCCGGGGGGACCCGGGCCCGGGGCCGAGCTGCAGGCCTGGGCGCCCGGCGCGGCGCTGCGCGGGGAGCCCCTGTGGGCCCGGCCCGCGGGGCCGGAGGAGGCCGGGCGGGAAGACGACGGGGCGGCCTGTGAGACCCGGGCCGGGCCGCTGCCGCTGCTGCCGGGCGCGCGCGCCCACCTGAGCCCGCGGCCGCCGCTCTGCCGGCCCCTGTGCCCGGCGCTGCGGGCGCGGCGGCTGGCGCTGGGCGCGGAGCACGCGCTGCTGCTGGACGCGGCGGGCCAGGTGCTGTCCTGGGGCGGCGGCAGGTGAGTGGCCGCGGGCGGGGCGGGCGGCGCGGGGCCCCGGGTGCGGCGGCGCTGACGGGCCCCTCGCGCAGGCACGGGCAGCTGGGCCACGGGACGCTGGAGGCGGAGCCCGCGCCGCGGCTGCTGGAGGCGCTGCAGGGCCTGCGCGTGGCCGCGGTGGCCGCGGGCGGCTGGCACTCCGTGTGTGTGGGCGGTGAGTGACGGGGCGCTGGGGGCTTGGGGGGCCTCGCCTTCTCCCTGCCAACTCATCCCACGTCCTCCTCTCCCAGGTTTTGGGGGGCCCAGCCAGTGCTCCTCGCAGGCTCATCCCACCCCCTCCTCTCCCAGGTTTTTTGGGGGCCCTAGCTAGTCCTCCCTGCCAGCCCATCCCACATCCTCCTCTCCCAGGTTTTGGGGGGCCCAGCCAGTCCTCCTTGCAGGCTCATCCCACGTCCTTCTCTCCCAGGTTTTTTTGGGGACCAACCAGTGCTCCTTGCAAGCTCATCCCACATCCTCCTCTCCCAGGTTTTGGGGGGCCTGGCCAGTCCTCCTTGCAGGCTCATCCTGCGTCCTCCTCTCCCAGGTTTTGGGGGGCCCAGCCATCCTCCCTGCCAGCTCACCCCACGTCAGTCGGCTCGGTCATTAATGACCCCAAAGCCTCTCGTACTGAGCTCCTCGGCCACCGCCGTCGCCTGCTCCCACTTCCGGCTTCTGTCGGGGTGTCACCACCCTGTCCGTCCGCCTCCAGCTGGGGCCGTCTTTCTGAAACGCCCCCTCAGGGTGCCCGGCTGGTGTGGCTCAGTGGTTGAGCGCCAACCTGTGAACCAGGAGGTCGTGATTAGATTAGATTCCCCTGTCCCGGCACCTACCGAACTCCATCCCGGTGTGGGGTGTGCAGGAGGCAGCCGATCAGTGATTTTTTTCTCATCGATGTTTCTAGCTCTCTGTCCTTCTCCCTTCCTCTCTGGGGGGAAAAAAAAAAAAAAAAGCAGTAATTAAAAAAAAATTAAATGGAAAAATATCCTTGGGTGAAGATTAACAACAACAATAAAGATAAAAACCAATGGAGGTGAGGATTAACAACAACAACAAAAACCAACAAAAAATAAAAGTGTCACCTGCAGGCACTTTAGGGGAAGGGACCCTGTTAAGACAAGCTGTTGCCCTAGAGCCGTGGTCGGCAAACTGCGGCTCTCGAGCCACCTGCGGCTCTTTGGCCCCTTGAGTGCGGCTTTTCCACAGAATACCACAGCCTGGGGCGAGTCTATTTTGAAGAAGTGGAGTTAGAAGACCTTTACATTTTAAAAATGTGGCTCTCCAAAGAAATTTCAATCGTTGTGCTGTTGCTATTTGGCTCTGTGGACGAATGAGTTTGCCAACCAGTACCCTAATGGATAGAGTGTTGGCCTGGGGACTGAAGGGTCCCAGGTTCGATTCCGGCCAAGGGCACATGCCCTTGTTGCGGGCTCGATCCCCAGTAGGGGGCGTGCAGGAGGCAGCTGATCCATGATTCTCATCATGGCTGTTTCTCTGTAAATTAATAAAATAAAAAAAAATTTCCAATAAAAAAAGATAGACACTGCGGGTCCTGGGCTGCTGACTGGGGCAGGGCTGGCCTCAGTCGTCCCCAGAGAGCTAGTGGAGTGGAGCGGGGGGGTGTGGAGAGATGCGAGGGGCTGAGGAGGCGGAGGGATCCACAGCCTGTCTAACGGGCCCCCTTTCTCCCTCAGAGACGGGCGACATCTACGTCTGGGGCTGGAACGAGTCGGGGCAGCTGGCCCTGCCCGCCAGGGGCCTGGCGGAGGACGGACAGACAGATGCAGGGGAAGGTGAGTCTCAGCTATTATTTTTTTTTAATGATTGATTGATTGATTTTAGAGGAGAGGAAGGAGGAGAGAAACGATCGTTTTGTTCTGTTTATTTATGCATTTGTTGATTGATTCTTTTTAAAAAAATAAGTTTTTATTGATTTCAGAGGAAGGGAGAGGGAGAGATAGAAACACCAATGAGAGAATCATCATTGGTCGGCTGCCTCCCACATGCCCCCTACTGGGAATCAAGCCCACAACCTGGGTATGTGCCCTGATCGGGAATTGAACCGTTCATAGCTGGATGCTCAATCATGAGTCACACTAGCTGGGCTATTGGCTGATTCTTTTTTTTTTTTTTCCCCCATTGGTTGGTGTTTTTTTTTTAAATTTAATAAATCTTTATTGTTCAGATTATTACAATAGTTCCTCTTTTTCCCCCATAGCTCCCCTCCACTCGGTTCCCACTGCACCCTCTGCCCCTACCTCCCCCACTGTCCTCATGCATAGTTGTGCGATTTTTGTCCAGTCTCTTCCTGCACCCCCACACCCCTTTCCCCCCGAGAATTATCAGTCCACTCCCTTTATATGCCCCTGGTTTTATTATATTCACCAGCTTATTCTGTTCCTCAGATTTTTAATTCACTTGATTTTTGGGCTCGCTTGTTGAGAAATCAGCTGACAATCGTATGGGTGTTCCCTTGTAGGTAATTAACTGTTTTTGGCTTGCTGCTTGTAAGATTCTCTTTGTCTTTTGCTCTTGGCATTTCAATTACGAGGTGTCTTGGTGTGGTCCTCTTTGGATTCCTTTTGTTTGGGGTTTTGTGCGCTTCCTAGATTTGTAAGTCTATTTCTTTCACCCGGTGGGGGAAGTTTTCAGTCATTATTTCTTCAAATAGGTTTTTAGTATCTTGCTCTTTCTCTTCTTCTGGCACCCCCATAATTCGGATGTTGGTACCCTTGAAGTTGTCCCATCCCAGAGGCTTCTTACACTATCTTCAACTTTTTCTTTTTTCTTTTCTGGTTGAGTGTTTTTGCTTCTTTGTATTTCAAATCTTTGACTCGATTCTTGTGTTCCTCTAGTTTGCTGTTGGGTCTCTGTATAATATTTTTTATTTCAGTCAGTGTATGTTTAATTTCTAGTTGATCCTTTTTCATATCCTTGAGGGTCTCACTAAATTTATTGGCCTTTTCTAGGAAATTATTGAAAAACCTTATAACTGTGGTTTTGAATTCTATATCCAGTCGTTTATTTTCCTCCATTTCTTTCGTTTGTGATATGTTACTTTGTCTCTGCATTTGTGCTGCTTCCCTGAGTTGGTAGGGTGGCTAGGTGTCCTCTATGGCCCAGTGGGCCAGCCTCCCCAGTCACCTGAGGTGGACACCCTTTTTAAAAAATATATATATATTTTATTGATTTTTTACAGAAAGGAAGGGAGAGAGAGATAGAGAGCTAGAAACATTGATAAGAGAGAAACATTGACCAGCTGCCTCCTGCATACCCCCTACCAGGGATGTGCCCGCAACCAAGGTACATGCCCTTGACCGGAATCAAACCCGGGACCCTTCAGTCCGCAGACTGACGCTCTACCACTGAGCCAAACCTGTTTCGGCGAGGTGGACACTCTTGGTGCAGCCCTTTGTGGTCTGTGTGTACAGCCTTGGTGTAGTTAAGCCTTGATTGTTGTTGGTATCACTGGGAGGAATTGACCTCTAGGTCAATGTCTATGTGCATCGGCTGTGTCTACGCCGGGAGACCTTCTGTGTTGGAGACAGCCTTATAGGACCAGACTTGCAAAATTGCAAAAGCCTCTGTGCTCAGCTTGGGTGGGGCGGAGTCTCAGGGCTGAGCAGACAGCCTTGGCTTCCCATCAGCCCTGCCCTTGCACCCGTGCCTCTGGACCTGTGCCGTCTGTGGCTCTCCTGAGTTTCCGCCTGACAGTCCAGATTCCCCCAGGCTCGCCCGGAACGGGTTCAGTGCAGTCAGAACTGGGGTTCAGTGCAATCAGGAGCTTCCAACTCCCTCTCGCTAGAGAGAGCTAGAGGCAAACTCAGCAGTCAGTCTTCTCTGCACTCACTTCTGCGTGCATGCGCTTCCTGACCCCTGCCCACCACGGCTTCCCCGAGTCTCCGAGTCTCCATGTGCCTTTCTCTCTACTGACAGTCCAGACTCCCCTCATATGAGCCTCCATGTCTCTGTACCTCAGTCCTTTGCGGCTCCTCTGACTCTCCGTGAGCTTTCCTCTTTCCTTCTAGCTGTAGAATTCCCACTCAGCCGGCCTTCCTGTGGTTCTGGATGATGTCTGCTCTGCCTTTTGGTTGTCGTTTTGAAACTGTTGTGCGAGACAGCAGATTAGGTGCCTACCTACGCCGCCATCTTGGTTTCTCTTCCCCATTGGTGGATTCTTGTGTATGCGCTGTCTCGGCCAGGGAACAAACCCGCTAACCTTGGCGTTTGGGACGATGCTCTGAGAGTCGAACCAGCTGAGCTACCCTACCCGGCCGGGGAGTCTCAGCTCCTGGCTCCCACAGGTCTCCGTCCTTCCCGGCTCCTGGCCACAGGCTGGCCTGAGAGCTTACGGTGCTCGGAAGGGACACGTGACGTCCTGGGGGCCCAGGACACAGGGGACCGAGTCCCTCAGGGGAGGGCGCGCAGCGAGGCCGACGCCCATGCCCACGCCCCACGCACGGCAGCTCTTCCTGGGGGCGCGTTAGACCCGGCGTCAGCCCTCGCGACCCTCCTCGCTCTCCCCTCTTCAAGCCCCTGCGCTGAAGGAAGACGGTGCTGGGCTGAAGGGGCCAGCGGGGCCTGAGGACGCAGCCGCCGCCCCCTTCATCGCCGTGCAGCCCTTCCCGGCCCTCCTGGACCTGCCCCTGGGCGCCGACGCGGCCGCCGCCAGCTGCGGGTCCCGGCACACGGCCGTGGTGACGCGTGAGTGCCCGAGGGCGGTGCAGGTGTCAGCCCGCCCCGTCTCCGTCTGGTGGCTGCGGGGGCTGGTGTCCCCTAAGAGACCTCCGTCCGTCTTACCGTCCGACGTGCAGAGGAGCTGCCCCGGGGGTCTCTGGAGGCTGGGCTGGCGGCCTCTGGTCAGCGCCCGCCCCGTCCGGCTGCGAGAGGCCTGGGCTCAGGAGCTGGGAGGGGCAGGCCGCGGGAGGCGTGGGGGCGACCGTCTCGGGCAGGTCCTTGGCCAGCCGAGGGGGTTGGCTGGTTAGAAAGAGCCGAGCCTGTGCAGAGAGGTGCTCTGTCCGTCCCCGATGGGCGTTGTGGGCTCAGGCTGCGGGCCGGCCGGTTGGCAGCCACGGAGCCAGGCAGCACGGTGACCGCCCCCCCTTCCCATTGCAGGGACCGGGGAGCTCTACACCTGGGGCTGGGGTAAGTCCGCTCGGCCGCGGCGACCTTACGCCGAGGGGCGGGGAGCCGGGCCGGGGAGCCGGGGGCGGGGGGCAGGCCCGGCCGAGGAGCCGTCTCTGGAACAGGCTCAGACGCTGTCTGCTTCCCATCGGCCTTGCTTTTCCTTCTTCCCAAGTGTTTCCTGTTTATGTATATACCAGAGGCCGGCTGCATGAAGTTAGTGCTCTGGGGGGGGGGGGGCGTCCCCTCAGCCTGGCCTGGGCCCTCTTGCAGCCCAGGACCCCTCACTCCTTACGCTGCTGCTGCTGCTGCTGCTGCTGCTGCTCTGGCCGGCCGTGAGCCTGGCTTCTGGTGGGCGGTGCTCCCCATGTGGGAGGACACTGTCTTCAGTGTCTGCCCCCTGGTGGTCTGCGCACGTCACAGCAACCAGTCGTTCCACCATTTGGTAGATTTGCATATGTATTAGGTTTTTATTCTATAGGATATAGACTTTTTCCCATTGATTTTTAGAGAGAGGGAAAGACAGAGAGAAACATCGATGTGAAAGAAACATGTTGATTGGTTGCCTCCCGCACGAGCCCCAACCGGGGTCCGAGCCGGGGAGAAGCCTGACCGGAACGGAACCCGGGGCGCTTCAGTCCGCGGGCTGATGCTCTACCCACTGAGCCGCACCGGCCGGGGCCCCGTCTGCCTTTCTGGAGGGCCGTTTGTCTTAGGGAACACCTTGTGGCCTGGCACCGGGCTCGGAGCCCCCGGGGGCCCGGGAGGCAGCTGGCCGGAGGCCGGCCTCCTGGACCCTCGGCGGAGGGCGCGGGAGCCGGCTGGGGCCCACCCCGGGCGGGTTCCCTGCCAGCGGGGGGCAGCCCGGGGAAGGCCCTCGGAGCGGCCGGCCACGGGTCCCGTCTCCCGCAGGCAAGTACGGACAGCTGGGCCACGGGGACACGGCCAGCCGGGACCGGCCCCGCCGGGTGCAGTGCTTTGTGCGCGAGCAGCTCCGGGTCACGGCGGTGAGCTGCGGGCCCTGGAACACCTACGTGCGCGCGGTGGAGCCGGGGAGGAGCTGACGCCGCAGACACGGGCGCGACGTCACGCGAGTGGGCAGCAGGGCAGGTCAGGGCCCACGCCTGGGAGGCCCCGCCCGGCCCCGCCTCCGCCTCCGCCTCGCCCAGCTCGGCTTTCCCCGGCTTCCCCTCCGACCAGTTCTCAGCGTGGTCCTCGGCTTGGAATCACCGGAGAGCTTTGGACACGGGGCCCAGGCCAGCACCAAGGCCCTGAGACCAGGCCGGCCGGCGTGAACCAGGAGGTGACGGTTCCATTCCCGCTGGGAATGTGCCCAAGCTGTGAACTCCATCCCCAGTGGGGGGCGTGCAGGGGGCAGCCGATCCACGATTCTCATCCTGGATGTTTCTGTCTCTCACGTCCACTGTGAAAGCAATAAAAACATGCTAAAAACAAACATGTGCCGAAACCAGTGTGGCTCAGTGGATAGAGCGTCGGCCTGCGGACTGAGGGGTCCCAGGTTCGATTCCGGTCAAGGGCATGTGCCTTCGTTGTGGGCACATCCCCAGTGCGGGGTGTGCAGGAGGCAGCTGATCAGTGATTCTCTCTCATCGATGTTTCTAACTCTGTATCCCTTCTCTTCCTCTCTGTACAAAATCAATAAAATATATATTTTTTAAAAACGCAATGTTAATTCTTCCTATCCATGAACACAGTATATGCTTCTATTTGTGTCTTCTTCAATTTATAAAAACAAAAAACAAACAAACCAACGTGAAATCAGAACCTGGAATCCCGTGTCACCGTCCTCTGTCCCCCCCCCCCCCCCGGGTGGCTTTCGGCAGCGCCAGGACTGGACCCACTGGGTCTTCTCCTTGCCAGGCGTCTGCTTTTATGAGAATGTGCCCCCTGTGTGCGCCCTGTACAATCCCGTGCAATGCGTCTGATCTTGGACTCGAGGTAAATGCATTCATTCCGTGTGTGTGTGCTCCTGTGTCTCATATTTTTATTCAGCAGCATCTGGCCTCCGACTGCGGAGTGTGCCTCAGTCACATCTTCTTTGGTTGATGGTCATTTCAACCTATTGTTTTTTGGTTAGTCTTATATGCATGCACACAAGTCCTTTGGTTGATCTCTCCCCCTCACCCCCACCCTCCCCTACCTTCCCTCTGAGGTTTGAGAGTCTGATCTCTGCTTCTCTGTCTCTGGGTCTGCGTTTGTTCACCAGTGTATGTTGTTCATTATTTCCTCTAGATGCGTGAGGTCATGTGATCCAAGAAAGACCCCTGTAAGAACGGAAACTGAGACAAGCCATATTATGGTTATGCTGAGAGGCAAATGAATCATCTGTAGTGAGTTTCTTTCTGGGCCAACAGTTCTTTTGAGTCCCCATTTCCATGTCAAGCAGTTGCTTATGTGTACATGACAGCCGTGCTATTTCAGATCTGTTTGGTGGACACATGGTGGTGATGCAGGTCTGACCATCTCTGGTTTGGTCCTGGGCAACCTGCAGTGACACACAGCTGCTGTCTGCTGGTATGGCGAGGTGTCGTCAGCATCTTCCATCTCTGAATTGTTTCTCTTCTTCTTTTTTTTTAAAAAAAATATTGTTTTTTTACAGAGAGGAAGAGAGAGGGATAGAGAGTTAGAAACATTGATGAGAGAGAAACATCCATCAGCTGCCTCTTGCAGTCCGCAAGCCGACGCTCTATCCACTGAGCCAAACCGGTTTCAGCTGAATTGTTTCTCTTCTGTCTTCATGGCTGGAGCACTCCTGTCAATTCCTCTCTGTTGCAGGAATCCAGATAGTCTCAGAGTTGTTTTCTGGAAATATACAAACATATTCTCGACCAAAAGTTAATAAATATTTTCTATAAGTTTGAACCAGGCTCGCCCAGGGTCAGCGTCCCCCGCGTTCAGTGTGGTCTCGTGTGCGCGCTTAGAATCAGGGACCCTGCCTGTACCACACGTTGGCGTGTGCCGAAAATGAGTCCCCTGGTGCGTGCCAGGAGATCGTTTCCCCGTGCCTGCACCGAGGATCGCGTGTCAGGGTCCCTGTGTGCGGTGCACCAAGAATGGGAGCCACTGGCTCTTCGTGTGAGTGCGCTGTGAGCAGGGGTCCCAGGCAGCTGTGCCCCGCGCCCCAAATTCCCCAAGGGGAGCTGGGTCCTGTGCACCCTCTCAGGTTCCCATTTTTTTAAAATATATTTTTATTGATTTTTTTTACAGAGAGGAAGGGAGAGATATTGAGAGCTATTGTAGAAATGTCGATGAGAGAGAAACATTGACCAGCTGCCTCTTGCACACCTCCTGGGGATGTGCCCACAACTCAGGTACATGCCCTTGACCGGAATTGAACCCGGGACCTTTCAGTCCGCAGACCGATGCTCTACCACTGAGCCAAACCGGTTTTGGCTCAGGTTCCCATTTTTAAGTGCGCAGTTCAGGGGCGTTAAATGGCATTCACACTGTTGTGTGACCACCAGCACAACCATCCCATCTCTCTCAGCTTGTAAACGGGAGACGCTCTACCTGTTAACCAATAACTCTCCCTCCCCCCTCCCTCCTCCCCAACCTCTGGCAGCCACCACTGTACTTGTCTTTATGCCTTGACTACTCAAGTGCCTGATGTGAAGGAATCATTTGGTACTTGTGTCTTTGTGATTCAGCATGTGCCATGGGTCAGAATTTCCTCCTTTTTCAGGCCCGTGTCATATTCCACATTTTGCTCATCTGGGTTGCTTCCATGTTGTAGCTGATGTGAGAAGCGCTGCTGTGAACGTGAGGGTGCAGAGACTCTGTAAGACCCCGTCCTCAGCTCCTTTGGCGGTGTACCAGCCGTGGAATTGCTGGGCTGTGTGGTCATTTTTTTTTTTTTTAATATATTTTATTGATTTTTTACAGAGAGGAAGGGAGAGATATAGAGAGCTAGAAACGTCGATGAGAGAGAAACATGGACCAGCTTCCTCTTGCACACCCCCTACTGGGGATGTGCCCGCAACTCGGGTACATGCCCTTGACTGGAATCGAACCCGGGACCTTTCAGTCCGCAGACCGACGCTCCACCACTGAGCCAAACCGGTTTCGGCTGTGTGGTCATTTAAAAAAAAAAAAAAAAAAAAAAAAAAAAATATATATATATATATATATATATATATATATATATATATATTTTTTTTTTTTTTTTTTAATGATTTTAGAGAGGAAGGGAGAGGGAAAGAGAGACACACATCAATGATAAGAGAGAATCACGGATCGGCTGCCTCCTGCACGCCCCACATTGGGGATGGAGCCCGAAACCCGGGCACATGCCCTGACCGGGAATCATCCGTGACCTCCTGGTTCACAGGTTGAACACTCAGCTACTGAGCCACACCGGCCAGGCTGGTAATTTCACTTTTAATTATCTGAGGAGCCTGCACACTGTTTCACGTGGCGGCTGCGCCATTTCACATTCCCACCAGCAGTGCACAGGACTCGCGTTTCCCTCTACCTCATCGGCATGTACTTCCTGGGCACGTTGTCTGTTCGCTGTAATCGCCGTCCTCACCGGGGGAGAGGAGTGTCACAGTCCCCGTCTGCCTTTCCCTGCTGCTCAGCGGTGTGGAGCGCCACCTGCTGGCACGTGTGCCCCGGCCGTGTGTGTGTGTGTGTGTGTGTGTGTGTGTGTGTGTGTGTGTGTGTGTGTGTGTGTGTGTGTGTGTGTGTGTGTGTGTGTGTGTCTGTCTGTCTGTCTCCGGGGAGATGGCGCGGCCCTGTGTGTGCACAGTCTGGCCACGGGCCCCTCATCAGATACGTGACTTACCGTATTTCCCCGCTGTGCGGGCTGGCTCTTTACTGTTGATCGTGTCACTTGATGTAAAAAAAAAACTTAATTTCGTTAAGTCCGGGTCAGGTACGTCTCCTCTTGTGTCCTCGCAGCCCAGACCCACGGCCACGTCCAGTGCCGAGCTCCTCTGTGACTCCCCGTTGAACGTCTGAGGTCATACGGTCCTCTTGGAGTTCATGGTTAGTTCGCTTTGGGGCCTGGTGACCGGGACGTTGGTCGAAGCCGGACAGGGACAGGAGCAGCAGGAGAGCTGGGCAGGCGCCTGCTCCCTGAGGAGCTGAGGAGAGGGTTTGGGGGGCCGGGCCGCTGCCCCTGGCTCCCCCGGCTTTGAGTCTCGGGGGGGGGACCCTGGAGTTTAGGGGCTGCATGCCTGTGGGGCGTCGGGGGAGGGGAAGGTGCAGGTGTGCCCGGGAGGGAGAGCGCCCCAGGGAATTGAGGGAGAAGCTTTGAGGCAAGTGTCCACGCTCTTTGCTGTTGGATGGCCAGCTGCCCAGCACCTTTGGTGAAGAGCCTGTCCCCTTGCCCATTGGACGGCCTTGCACAGTCATCACCGGGGGGGGGGGGGGGCGCGGGCAGCCCTTGCCGGTTCGGCTCAGTGGTTAGGGCATGGGCCCCTGTGCCAGAGGGACTTGGGTTCAATTCCAATCAATGGTTCCATCCCCAATCCGGAAGGGTGAGTGAGGAACACAGTCAGTGTGTCTCTCACATCGATGTTTCACTCTCCCTCCTTCCCTCCCCCTTCCACTCTCCAGAACTCAGTGGAAAAACATCCTCAGCCCAGCGAGGGCGGCTCAGTGGTGGAGCATCGACCATACACCACGAGGTCCCTGGTTTGATTCCTGCGCAGGGCACATGCCTGGGCTGTGGGCTCCATCCCCAGTGGGGAGCATGCAGATCGATGTTGATGATTCTCTCTCATTGATTATTCTATTTCTCTCCCTTCCCCTCCCTCTCTCTAAAGTCAATAAAAATGAAGTTAAAAAAAAAAAAGAATAAAAGGCTTAAAAATATCCTTGGGTAAGGAGTAACCAAAACGAAAAAGGAGTGGGTTTATTCCTGGGCTCTTCATTTTATTCTTTTCATCTCTATGTCTGTTGTTAGGCCATTGTCCGTCCGCCTGCTTTGATTACTCTAGCTTTGTAGTAAGTTTTGAAGTCAAAGTGTGAATCTTCCAACTTTGCTCTGCTTTTCCAAGATTGTTTTGGCTGTTGGGATCCCTTGCAATTCCATATCAACCTGATGACCTGCTTTTGACTTTTAGGGGGAAAAAGGAGAAAAAAAGAAAGTCGGTGGGATGCGGATAGAGATTTTATTGAATCTATAGGTCAGTTTGGGGAGTATTACCGTCTTAATTAAGTCTTCCACTCTGTGACGATGTCAATTTATTTAGGTCTTTAATTTCTTCAAGCAATTATGTGTAGTTTTCAGTGTACAGGTCTTTTATTATCTCCTTGGTTAAATTTATTCCCAAGTGTTTATTCTTTTGGACACCATTGTAAATGGAATTGTTTCCTTAATTTCATTTTGGATCATTATTACTAACATATAGAAATACAATTGATTTTGTGTGTGTGCTGATCTTGTATCCTATAACTTTGCTGAATTTATTAGCTCAAATAGTTTTTCTTGGTAGATTCATTAGGATTTTAGGATTTCCTATAAGGTGTCCTCTAAAAAAGGTATACATACTTTGAATGATTATAAAATCAGTGTTTATTAACATACAGTTCATTTTCAAAATTTAAAAGAATTTACAGAAACGAATCTTTTTCTCTCTATGTATCCCCATAAAAGTCTAATGACACTTTTTTTTAAAATATATTTTATTGATTTTTTACAGAGAGGAAGGGAGAGAGATAGAGAGCTAGAAACATCGATGAGGGAGAATCATCGACCAGCTGCCTCCTGCACACCCCCCACTGGGGATGTGCCCGCAACCAATGTACATGCCCCTGACCGGATTCGAATCTGGGACCCTTCAGTCCGCAGGCCGACGCTCTATCCACTGAGCCACACCGGTCTTCGCTCTAATGACACTTTAGGATAAATTGTCTTTGTTCAAAGTTTTGGTATCCGTCTGGCTTCCCCCATTATTCCAAATCAGTTAAACCTGAAAACTAGTACAAATTGAGTTGTCAGCTGTTATGGAGTGTATACATTTTTGGAGAACACCCTATATAAAATCACTACAGGCCCCATGCAGGAAATTCGTGCAAGGGGCTCGGCCTTCACAGCCCTGGCTGCGTCCTGAAGGACCTTGGGAAGGCCGTTCGGCTGTCCGGTCTAATTAGCATATCATGCTTCTATTAGCGTAGATGTCTGTGTGAAGAGACATAGCTTTTCCTGACCAATTTGGATGCCTGTGTTTATTTGGATGCCTCTCCCTGTCTCATCTGTGCTGCGTAACTGGGCTGGCTAGGTCTCCTCGTGAAGTGTGGAATGGACATGGGACAGTGGGCCCTTGCCTTGTTTCTGATCTCGGGACGAGCCCCGAGGACGAGGTTAGCTGCGGGCTTTTGAAAATGCCTTTTGTCGTGTTGAGGAAGTTCTGTTCTCCTGCTGGCTTGTGAGTGTTTTCACCATGAGAGGGCGCTGGCGTCTGTTCCCCCCTCTGTCCTATGAGACGGTAATAGATTTTGGTAGGTTGAGCCATCCTTGCATCTCTAGGTGGGTCCCACTTGGTCAGGGCCTGTGTCCTCTGAATGCTCTGCTGGACTCTGTTTGCTGGTGTTTTGTTGAAGCTTTCTGCCTTCCTATTTATAAGGGTTATTGTTGTGTTTTCTTGTGATATATCTTTGTCAAGTTATGGCATCAAGATAATGCTGGCCTTTGAGAACAAATTAGGGAGTGTTCCCTCTTCAATTTTTAAAAATTTACATACTTATTCTTTTGCTTTTTATTTTAGTTATTTTTAAAATATATTTCTATTGACTTCAGAGAGGAAGGGAGGAGAAATAGAAACAATGATGAGAATCATCGATCAGCTGCCTCCAACACACCCCCTGTTGGGGACTTGACTACCAAGCCACACCAGCCAGGCGTCAGTGTTTTTGGGAGAGTTTGAAAAGTATTGGTGTTATTTATTTATTTTTTTAAATGTTTGGTAACATTCACTAGGGAAGCCATCTGGTCCTGGGTTATTTTTGTTGTGAGGGTTTGAGTACTGACTCAAGCTTGTTACAGTTCTATTCAGATTTCCTTTTATTATTATCACTCTTATTGATTTTAGAGAAACATCTACTTGGTTATAACAGTTATTTTATTTTTTTAAATGGCTTAGTGTTTAAGTGACTGTATAACAGATCACACAGTGATTCATCACTTCACTCACTGGGCGGAAAAGTGTGGAGTATTTCTGTTATACACCTGGTTGGGACAGGGAGAATGAAAATCTAGCATTTAGATGGTTGAAGAAATTCTCATTTAAAATTTGGGCATGCCTAAAAAGACAATCAGCACCTTATTTATGTGGTTCTGGATCGAAAGGAAAGACTATTTTGACGTGTATTATAATTTCAGATGTATTCTTACCTCTGCTGACAGGGAGGGCTGTGTTAACGCATTGCCGACCAGTAGTTTTATTGCTGGCTTTCCCCGGTGGCCAGGGGAGTGTCTGTTGCCAAAACGTTTACATAAATGTTAGAGGCACGCTTTAAAACGACCTACCCATTGCACTTTGAAGTTACTTATTACATGTTCTTACAAGCTGGTATCCTTTTTTTAAAAAAATATATATTTTATTGATTTTTTTTACAGAGAGGAAGGGAGAAATATAGAGAGCTAGAAACGTCGATGAGAGAGAAACATCGACCAGCTGCCTCCTGCACCCCCCCCCCCCACTGGGGATGTGCCCGCAACCCAGGTACATGCCCTTGACCGGAATCGAACCCGGGACCCTTCAGTCCGCAGGCCGACGCTCTATCCACTGAGCCACACCGGTTTCGGTGAAGCCAGCGTCCTTTTAAAGTATTCTTGTGATCGGCCACAAACCTTAGAAACACGGGGACTAGATCTTTCTCCTTTCGATTGTTTTTGACTTTTATTTGTGTGCACTGTGCGGTACATACAGGTTTGGGGTGCCTATGTCTTCTGTAGGTTGCCCCTTTTTATCATGAATTCTCTCTACCTTGTGGGGGTGCAGGAGCGTCCCCCCCCCCCGGCCGCTCTCCGTGGTGCTGATCGCTCCCCCCCACCCCCGGGGCCTGGGCCTGTGCCCTGGTGGGTGAGTTCCCTTTGGGCTCCTCTGTCTGGCTAACACGTGTGCAGTGTTCACACCGCTGTGAGCGGGCTGAACTGTGACTCTAGCCCCATGCCCACACTGGCTTTCTGCTCTGTGGACACCGCCCCACACGGTCCTCCCCCCTCCCTCTTGGGGGGTGGGCAGGCGGGAGGCCCGGTCCCCCTGGGGCCCCGAGAACACGACCCTCTTCTCAGCAGCGGGAGAGGAGCTGGAGGTGCCGCCGTGTGGGAAGTGGTAGCTGCCAGGCCGGGAGGCTGAGGCCACCCCGCCGTGCCCCAGGGCAGCCCCAACAGGCGCTGTTAGCAACCCCACCCCATCCAGGGCACCCAGGGGCCTCCCCTCCGGGCGGCCTCCCCCAGCGCGTCGTGGGGCTGGGCTGTCAGGTTGGAGGAAGGAGGAGGAGGAGGAGGACAGGAGCGTCTGGAGGGAGTCAGGTCCCCAACACTGTCATCAGGGGCGAGGACTGGAGTCGGGAGGTCAGAAGTCAAAGGTCAGATGCCATGGTTGAGGACCTGAGGGGGGACCACAGGCCTGGGCCTGGGGCCGGGGGCTGGAGCCTCCGCTCTGCTCCTCATCCTGGCTGCAGGGCCGAGGCCTCCCTGGAGGCGGTGCTGGGGCCAGGGCTCCGGGATGGGCAGGAGCCGAGGAAGTCACTGCGCTGGCGGGTGACAACTGGGACAGGCAGAGGTGCCCGCAGGCTCTCAGCACCGCCCCCTGCAGGCCTGGGGTCTGCGATGGAGGCCAGGGAGTGGGAGTCGGGTGGGGGAGGAGTGCGGGAAGGGTGCCGGTCCAGGGGAGCCCACCCGCCCGGTCGCACCTCTGGTGATGCCCATGCGGGTGCGTGTGAGTGCGGCGGGGCTGGAGCTGGGGCGGGCGATGTGGCCACGGAGCACATGCCCCCTCCTCGCGCCCGCGCTGGCCCTGCCCCCCCCCCCCAGCCCCTGCCTCCTGGTCCTCAGGGTCCTGGGCGGGGCTGGGGGCTCAGGACCTGGGGCGTTTCACATGCGCAGGAGCCAGCACGTGCCCGGCGTGAGGCACCTCACAGGGAGTTACGGGGACAGGGAGGGCCGGCGAGCCGGAGCCTGGCCGGTGGCCAAGGGGGCGGGTGTCCGGGCTGGCATCCCGCCCTGCACGGGCACGCGAGGGTCTGCAGTGGCCAGGGCGTGTCCGGGTGACTGTCAGGGAGCGTCTGTGCACATCGCGCCTGCCAGGGGGCGCCCTGCAGAGCTCACCCCCAGCGAGCAGGGAGCGAGGGAGAAGGCGGGGCACTGACCCTCACCGGGCCTCAGTTTCCCTTTGGGGAAGCGGATGCTGGCGGACAGGATTAGCGGAGCAGAGCCGCACAGCCCAGGACCTGTCTCTGCAGGAGCAGCTGTGTTCTCCTGGGAGAAAGTGGAGGCAGGTGAGCACACGTGTCCTGACCCCGGGAGGCAGAGGGGCTGCTGGGGGCGCTGCCTGTGGGATGGAGGCGGCCAGTTCCATCTCCCAGCACAGCCAGGGCCCCGTTGTTTGGGGGCTCCCCACTTTGGGGCTCCCCTAAGGCGGCCAGGACCATGTGTGGCCTCAGGCTGCGGCCATGAAAGGAACAGCCCGGCTGCGGCCATGAAAGGAACAACTGCGCCCTCGTGTGGCCTCGCAGGTGCGGGCGGGGCGCTGCTGCGGCCGGAGGGCGCGGAGCTGGGCCTGGAGCTCGGCCTCCACAAGACGCGCGTCCTGGGGGGCTTTGAGCTCGAGGGGGTGTGTCGGCTGCCAGACCAGTCCCCTCCGGGAGCTGGAGACGGGGTGCCCGGGTCCGAGGAGGCCGCCTCCTGGAGGCCGTCCGGGTGGGGCTCCCGGAAGAGGCTGCTGTCCCCCGAGGACACGGAGTGTGAAGCCAAGAGGGCCTGTGAGCCGCGGGGAGAGGCCCCGGAGGCCCGGGGCGAGGCCAGGTCTCCAGGCAACGAGGAGCCGTGGGTTCTGGGTGAGTGTGACCCCGGGACGGGGGCGGGCCTGGCTGGGGGCGGGGCCCGGGGCCGCGCTGACCGCCTCCCCCCTGCAGGCTCCACGCCCCCTCCTGGCCGCGCCGTGCGCAGCGGCCTCTCCGCCCGCGGCCTCCAGGCCCTGACCCAGTCCCCGCTGCTGCTCCCCGGGAGGACGCCCGCCGCACAGGGCACCGCCGCCCCAGGTAAGTCATGTGCCGGGGGGAGGGCAGTTTTGAGGGGGCAAAGGGGCAGGGATGTGCGGTGCCACCCAGGGAACCCCGTCCTACCAGGCACTTGGGGTCCTCCGTGTCTGCTGGTTTCTCAGCAGAAACCATGCAGACCAGGCGGGAGTGGCAAGAAACATTCCAAGTGAACAGTGAGTACCCACAGCCGTTACTCTACCCAGCAATGCTATCCCTCAGAATGGAAGGTCAGATAAAGAGCTTCACAGATTAAAAAAAAAAAAAAGCTAACAAGAAGAAGGTAAAGACAAAAATTATGAGCAAATACTTGATATCTATCAACAAGTGAATCTAAAAATCAAGTGAATAAAAAACCTGATGAACATAATAAATCAGGGGCATAGAAAGGGAGTGGACTGAATTCCAGGGGGAAGGGGTGTGGGGGTGCTGGAAGAGACTGGACAAAAATCGTACACCTACGGATGAGGACGGGGGGAGGTAAGGGCAGAGGGTGCGGTGGGAACCGGGGGGAGGAGAGCTATGGGGGGGAGGGGGAAGAGGAACAATTGTAATAATCTGAACGATAAAGATTTATTAAATCTTTCCCAATCTCCCCAGGCCCATCTAGACACGACCAGAGGTGGCCGTGGGCACCGCCCTGGGAGGAGGGAGTGGCAGGATCCGCTTCGGAGGAACGGAGGCCAGCTCCCGGCCGGCTGTCAGTGAGGCAGGACTCTTTCGTGGTGGACGAACACGGCCCCGTACCGGTCAGGCCCGGCCCCAAGGCCACTGTGGACCACAGCGGGCTCCTCTGCAGGTAGGTCAGGCCCAGCTGCAGGTCCTATGGAGGCACAAGGAAGAGGATGAGGCGCAAGGGAGAGGGGCTCAGGGGGGCGCACAGGGGAGAGGGGCAACACTGTCTTGTTGTACAAGCTCTGCGCCCTTACAGTGTACACGCCCTGCTCCCAGCATACGGTGCACTGTGTGGCCACACTGATGAGGACACAGTGGTCACCGCTGTCTGTAAGAGCCCGGACCGGCTTCAGCGGGGTCTCAGGCTGCACGTCGCTCCGAGAGACAAGCCCCTGACCGCTCTGCTGTGAGCCTGAGCCACCTGCGGCCGCCCGTCTCTGTCCTTCAGTGCGCTCCGCCGGGTGGCCTTTGCCGGAGCCCAGGACCCACTGGAATCGGTAAATACACCTGTGTGAGTGCACACTGAGTGTGTGTGTGTCATGTGTTCCGGTTCGGCTCAGCTGTCTAGACATTGAAGCACCAGGGGACAGGCCATTATTGCTGACTCCTGGTCACCTGCCTTAGTCCGCTGAGTATAGGCACATAAGTAATTGGGGCATAATTGGGACACTTGGCATAGTGGGCAGGATTCCAAAACAAATTTCTCCGAAGTGCAGGCAGATAAGTATTTAAAACTGGCAAAAACAGAGTATTAAGGAAACGACCACCGAGTGTAAAGGGGATTAACCTGGCACCAACCAAGAGAACTGGTCCCTGAGGACACGGGTCAGAGGTCACCCACCGCGAGGGTCCTAGCCGCCTCTGTGTGCACGCGGGGCCTGTTGGCGATTACACCAGCCGGCCTGTTCCCAGCCAGAGACTCGACATCGGAGCATGTCGCCTAGGTTTGGTCCAAAAGCGAAACTCCCCTTCAAATTCAAGGAATTAAAGTTAGGGAAACTGAAAGTAAAGGAAAATGAAACTTTTTGAAGGATAAATTTACAGCAGAGCCGAACTTACGAGCAACATTTTGAAGCAGCCATAACAACTCTCCTAGAAAGCACACACTGCACACATACACAGGATTCTGTCCGTCTGGTAGGTTCGGACCAAGACTCCGTCTCACTTAACACCAGGCAGAAAGTTAAAAACTTCTTTAACAAGCTTTTCAAAAGAAACTGCCTACCTAGCCCAACAAACCACCAGGAAGCAATGCTGGCCGGGAGAGGACGCCCTGAGGCCAAATATAAAACCCAGACAGCCCTGGCCTCAACCAAAACATAGCAGATCCTAACAATCTGATCCAGTAACTGGATAAGCGCCACCACAGGAGCAGGAGGGATATTACTGCAGTAATAGGTTCATAGCGTGTTAGGTATGGACATCCTACCAACATTATTCTGTCACATTTCCCACACCCAGGCTCCATAAAATCACAACTTTCCTCACTGCACTACACATACCTCCATTAACATTACCAGAACCAAACACATTCATTCACACCTCAATACCTTCTAAAGGAGAACATGAGGATGTAACCAAAGCACTTAAACTTCCGGGAGAAGATAGAACCAGGCAGATCACACATTTATAACAGGCTTTGGCTAACGGCACCCACAGGATCACCAGTGACTATCGCAGCCTGTCTGAATCAGGCCTCACCAAATGGATGGCTGCCTGCCTGATGCACAAGCAGTAATCGATATTATCCAGACAGACAACCCGGGGTTTATGGCAACTGATCTCAGACATTTGCTTTGCAGTACCTGTAGCTGAACAATCCAGACCCTTTACCACATTTATACAGCAAGGCAAACACCAATTCAAAGACCCACCGTCGCACACAACCTACTTGCTAACATGGACCCCACAAAACACAAATCCACAATCATACAATACACAGATGACATTCTCCTCTAGAACCATGAAAACAGATTCTACAACCTGATCTCTAGTCACTAGTAACACACCTGAGATCACTAGGCTGGCCATTAATCCAGCCCCCAGATGCCACAGCAGCATCTTCCGGCTCCACTGGAGCTCGGAGGCAGGAACACACCGAACTAAGTGACAGATAAATCACTAAACTTAAAAGCCAACCAACGGAAAAGACGCACAACAATTAATGGGACTTTTGTTCTTACAGATCTCATTACACTACCTGTATTTGAAAATTTCAACAACCCTTTATTTCAAATTAATAACCTTAAATTTGGTAAAATAGCTCACATATGCTTCATTGCATTTATCCTGAATGGCAACCAGTCCAACATTTATTTATATTTAAACAAAATAAAAGATGACTTTGAATTCTTGGAGCATATGTTGAACTTCTTACTGTTCTCAATTGCTTTCATGCCATGGAAAAAAATCCCTCCTCAAGTCTACGGCTTCCCCAGGCACACACTGTCAAACAATATGAATATTAAATAAAAAATATCCCAACCCACATTCTGGGGATTTTGGGAAACCTCACCACACCACATTTCCCAGGAGTCATATCCAATACACACAGATCACTAAAAGATGAACCTATTTACTCTAACACTCCAGCAACACAGAGCATGCATTCCTGCCAATCTCGCTAACATACCCGTCTTCCAACTTTCACCACACACACCCTAGACTCCCCACCGTGAACACCTCCACTGCCCTCAAACACTGCTAGACCCGGATGGAGGCCCCTCCACATGGGGAAACGTCTCATGGTCACGAGGAAACTACACATCTCCAGTCTCCCCCTTAACAGGCCTACGCCCCAAATAACCTCACCGGTGGCCGTGCCTCTAACCCCAATCCACGAGGTCCAAACTCCCCTACCTACTCCAGACACATCAGACCTCTGCTCCTTCCTTCAATTCTCTCCCCACCAATCCGTATTCTTACGGCCCATTCCCCATCCCCTCCTGGACCAACTTTCCTGTTCCTTTCAAATTCACCGCTGCAACATCCTAGACACCCGCTTCACCCAGTAGCTCCACCACACACGTGCCAATCCCCTCAAACGGGATCAGACCTGACACACCATTCATGTGTAAATACTCAGGGTCCCTCACAGGGTCTGAAACCTGTGGCACGGTGCTACAATTATGGAGCGAACATTAATCCAACAAACACGCACAGACTTCCAGGAACCCTATCTCAGGAACACCAACAATACATGCTCCACTACAGGGATGGCACATGGAGCGAATTATACCTACCCTCTTACCCATTACAAACCACACTATTACCCACCATGGATTGTTACCACACACAGTCTCTTTCGCTGACTGCTTCACAAAAACCCTCTTCAGCCTGCGTTATTCATAGAGGACGTTATGACAGCACAGGATGCCTTAGAACATCCCACTGCCAACCAGCATTCTCTTAAGGCATCACCAATCCTCCACCTTCCACATCCCCACCACCGATTATAACCCAGACAAGCAACCAATCAGAATTACTTAGACCTATCATCCACTCTACAACTATGGTATTTACGAAACAAGATTTCCTAGCGACCACCATCACTCCCCAACGTGCACCCCGAAGAAATAACCTCCAGGTTAACCTTCCGTCCCTGCCATCTACTGGACAGACAAACCTCAGATGTTTGGGACTCGCTGCAATAGCGAGTCTATCACTAACGCTGTCAAAATTGCGGAAATATCTTTAGGCCTACAAAAACACACCAAACATGCCCTAGCCAGTTTGGCTCAGTGGATAGTGCGTCAGCCTGGGGAATGAAAAGTCCCTGTTCCATTCCATCCAAGGGCACGTGCCCGGGCTGCGGGCTCCATCCCCAGTAGGGGGCGTGCAGGAGGCAGCCGATCACTGATTCTCATCACTGATGTTTCTATATCTCGCTCCATCTCCCTTCCTCTCTGAAATCAATAAAGAAACATATATTTAAAAAACAAATAAAAATACACCAAACTTCAAAACTCTACATGTAATGAAGTCTTCACCTCCTATCTAGAAATTTCAATTCATCCTATGAATTAGCAATCCAAACCCAACAACTAAACCCAACTCCGCCTACTTCATGCTGAGCCTTCCTTCCCCGAAATGCCCTTGTGAATTCACACCTCACAGCTGCCACCTCCTCAACTACCCCTCTTCTCGGTACCCGCGCAGCCCTACAGCCAGAAACCCTCATATATAACTTAGGCCACTTTTATTTCCTCCCCTGCTTTGTGAATATCACATCATACGACCACACCTCTAACTGACCTTCCTCTTGATTCTTCTACCGTTTCCCCGAAAATAAGACAGTGTCTTATGTTAATTTTTTCTCCCAAAGTTGCGCTAGGTCTTATTTTCAGGGGATGTCTTATCTTTCCAGGCGCTAGGTCTTATTTTGGGAGGATGTCTTATTTTCGGGGAAACACGGTAGGAACTGCACCCTTCTTTCTCACACTATGAATATTCCATATCTTAATCACACCCAATATTCCTCCTGTGTTGAAAGAACTTCCCTATATTTCCATCCCTCTGTACCTGTCCATTCTCTATCTCCTGAAGCATCACCCCGCCCCCCGGTTCCAAGAACAGCACCATTTCTACGTTAAAACAACTCCAGAAACGCTCCTAGGACGCCCTCAGGAAACTTGGAGCAACACCCAAAGCCATGGACCATCTGCTCCTGACACCCAGCAGCGCGACCCTCAGCACAGGGGCCCGGCCGCCTCGATAACACCGACTCCGGGGCCGTGTACCCACAGTGGAATCTTAACCCCCATCACATCCGGACAGGATGGAACCCCGCACCGCTGCTGGGCAAACACCAAGACCATCTCATTTCTCTTAGCCGTCATCTCCCTCCTCTCCCCTCATCAGCCTTCCGCTGCAGAAAGAATAAACTAATTTTGGCCTCGGGTCCCCTCCATACATGTCCCTCGGGGACCATGGGGTGGAATGTTAAAATAACGTAACCGCTCTAACGTATGAGGTCATTATTGTGTGAAATGTTTGCTGTATGGAAACCCCAATACTCTAACTTCCAACATTAATGAACACCCCACTATCCTGATGTCCAAGCTCTGCGCCCTTAAAAGTGTAAAGGCCCTGCTCCCAGCACAAGGCGCAGTCAGGCCACGCTGATGAGGACACAGTGGTCTCCGCGTCTATGTGAGCCCCGCCCGTCGCTCTGAGAGACCAGCCCTGACGGTGTGGGCCTGAGCCAGCTGCTGCCGCCCGCCCACCTGCCTTCGTCGTCCGCCCTTCGGTGCGCTGCACCCGGTGGCTTTGCCGGAGCCCAGGACCCACTGGAATCGGTGAATACACCTGTGTGAATGCACACTGAGTCTGTGAGTGTCATGTGTTCCGGTTCGGCTCGGCTGTCTAGACATTGCAGCAGCAGGGGACAGGCCGTGACTGCCTTTGTCAGCTGATTGTAGGCACATAATTAACTGGGCATAATCGGGACAGGAACAGGCGGAGGCGCAAACAGACGGGAAGCCGGAGGATGGGCCTCGTGGTTTGGCTCAATGACAGAGCATCAGCCTGCGGACCGAGGGGTCCGAGGATCCGCTTCGGAGGGGCTGAGGCCAGCTCCCGCTGGCTGTCAGTGAGGCAGGACGCGCCCGGCACGTACCTGTCAGGCCCGGCCCGCCAGGCCTGCTGGGTGGCAGCGGGTTCCTCCCAGGTGGGTCAGGCCGGGCCGGCGTCCCCGCTCCCCAGGGGTTTGTCCGATTTATGAACTCCGGGCTAGCGTCCCTGGGAGAGAGAGAGGAGTCACATAAGCAAAATGAGACACAAACCCGGTGCCACAGACGTTAGAGAGACGCCAATCATCAGGTGAGAACACTGACAGCCCTGATGCTGCCAAACTCAATGACCCAGATCAGTGGTCGGCAAACTCAGTCCACAGCCAAATATTGAAACAATTGAAATTTCTTTTGAGAGCCACATTTTTTTAAACTTAAACTTCTTCCAACGCCACTTCTTCAAAATAGACTCGCCCAGGCCGTGGTATCTTGTGCAAGAGCCACACTCAAGGGGCCAAAGAGCCAGTTTGCCGACCATGGACCTGGAAGAAATAGATACGTCCTTAGAAATACAGAACCACCTTCAACTGAATCAGGAAGAACTGGAAAGTCTAAATAGATCAGCAGTGGGGAAATTGAAGTAAAAAACAAAAACACATAGGAAATGTCCCCAGGCCCAGCCAATGTGGCTCAGTGGCTAAGTGTCAGCCCATGAACCAGGTCACAATTCCATTCCTGGTCAGAGCACAAGCGGGGCTGTGGGCTGGATCCGCGGTAGGGGGTGTGCAGGAGGCAGCTCCTCAATGATTCTCCCTCTTCCCTGGCACAGACAGATTAGCATGGCCCCCTCTTGTAATAACCCATCCTTTTAAAATTAACCGTCAGAACATCGCCGCTGTTATTACAACTCACTGCGCGTCCCCCAGCCTGCTGGGCCCTGTTTCCCCTCAGCCCTCACATCCCCCCTCGGAGGCAATGCCACCGTCACCCCCACTTTACAGATGGGGAGCCCAGGGCAGACCTTAGGCGCGTGGCCACGGTCTCCCGCGGACATGCTCTCCTGGAGGCGCTCGCTCAGAGCCCCCCAGGTCCACGAAGTGGAGCCTGGAGGTGAGCAGCTGGCCGCTGCGGGGCAGGGCAGGCAGCTCCTGACCTTGGAGGGACGGAGGGGAGGGGGGTCAAAGCTCAGAGCATCCCCTGTGCCCGGCCTGGGGCCCACAATGCAGTCCTACACGGCAGCAGGTCACGGCTCTCGTCCCTGCAATAAGGCCCAACTCTGCCCTGCCCCCCTCCTACCACACACACACACACACACACACACACACGTAAACACATGCATGCTGAGATTTCCAGTCTCTGCTTTGTCACGTCACACCCCCTTCCTCATCTTCAAAAGAGTCAAGAGATCTTGCCTGGCCAGTGTGGGTCAGTGATTGAGCATCAACTTATGAACCAGGAGGTCACGGTTCAAATCCCAGTCAGGGCACAGGCCCAGGTTGCAGGCTCAATCCCGGGTTGAGCAGCTGTCATGTGAAGGCAGCTGATCAATGATTCTCTCTCATTATTGATGTTTCTAACTCCCTCTCCCTTCATCTCTGAAATCAATATATGTATATATCCATTCCAAACCCCCCCCCAGAATAGTGCCAAACTCTCTCTCTCTCTCTCTCTCTCTCTATATATATATATATATATGTGTGTGTGTGTGTGTGTGTGTGTGTGTACACGTTTTTCCCTATACGTACATACCTATGATAAAGTGTAATTTATAAATTAAGCACAGTAAGAGATTAGCAACAACACCGAACAATGCAATACGAATTATAGCCCTGGCTGGTGTGGCTCAGTGGGTAGAGCATCGGCCTGCAGACTGAAGGGTCCCAGGTTTGATTCCTGTCGAGGGCACATGCCCAGGAGCCGATCCATGATTCTCTCTCCTCATGGATGTCTCTCTCTCTCTCCCCCTCTTCCTTCCTCTCTGAAATCAATAGAAAAGATATTATAAAAACAAAAATGCAAACGCCACCTTAAACCGGCCCCATAAGAGGCTCCCGTGGTCCTTGAGATTCTAACTGTCAGAGTTGCTAAACTATAAGGCCACAGTAAGGAAAACAGCATGGTGCTGGAATAACAACAGAGCCATTCATCCATGGAACAGAATACAGAGCCCAGAAATAAACCACACCTCTACGGTCAATTAATAAATGACAAAGAAGGCAAGAACATGCAATGGAGGAAAGACAGTCTCTTCAATAAATGGTGTTGGAAAATTGAACGAACATGCAAGAAAATGAAATCAGACCAACTTCTCACACCATACATAATAAACTCAAAATGCATTAAAGCCATGTGCGATCGAAACCATAAAACTTTTGAAAAATGCAGGCAGTAAAAAAGTGCTCATTACATTTGCTTCATAATAAGTCTAACCGTGTCCCTCCCCTTTAACTCCCTTCCCCGGCCCGCACTTCCCGTTTCTCCCGCCCAGCCTGCTGCATCCTCCGAGGACTTGTTTCTGACCCTGCTCAGCACCCAGCCTCTCTGCCTCTGGGCCCTTGCAGATGCGAAGATCGGTTTCTCTGCTTTCACTCTGCCCCACCCTGAACCCTGTCTGTTCTCCACCCAAAAGCCACACTGATTTAGCACCATAAAGCAGACTCCCTGCCTCAAAGCCCAGTGGTTTCAACTGCTACGCGACTATCACCTGAAGCCTGCCCACGCCTGAGCCGCGGTGACCGAGCCCAGCCTCCTCTCAGATCTCATCGGTGCTCCTCACCGGGCTGTGCTCCAGGCACCAGTGGTCCCTCCGCCCCTGAGGGAAGCCAGCCACCTCGCCTCCGTCCGGCTCGCTGTGCCCCTGCCTCCCCCCTCCCCCAGCTGCTTGCAGGGCCGGCTCTTTTCATGCCCCTAAGTGTCACCGCACTGGGCTGGCCTTCCCTAACCTCAGCTAACGCAGCTCCCGCCCCACGCAGGCGCCATTTTCCGGACAGCACTTACCACCGCCTGGGGGCGCTCCTGCTGGTCTGAGCCGGACGGCAGGGACTGTGTGCGGATCTTCAGAGGGCGGACTCCGGGGTCAGCAGATGCCTGTCGACTTGGTGGGTAAGTGAATGTGCAGGCCAATGACACACACACATGTACACGGGCTCTCACTCACCGCTCCCTCTGACGACCAAGGTGGCCGCTGTACCTGTTGCGCACTCACCTCCCGCACTGAGAGGCCTAACCGTATAAACACTTCACCCCACAACATGGACAGGTGTACACACACATACACGGTTTTCTGCAACATCTTACATTCCCACCAGCAACACAGACCCTGCCTTCCCTTGCCAGGATAGGCCTCACTGCACCATTATCTGTTCTTTTTTCCTAGCATGCCCCCCGCCGCTCCGGCTTTTGCCCACTTCTATAGCTTCTGCAAGAATCCACTAATCCCAGGTCACCACTGTGCCTCTTCGGGGACCACTTCCGAAGTCACAGAGATGGCTCACCACTCTACTGGACACCTGTAACTAACAATGTTCAATGTCAAATACAACCGAAACAGACAAATGATTTAAAAAAAAAAAAACCACATTAAAACTAAACCTATACTTTTCATTTCTTTTCACCCTATAAAACCTAGTCCTGTTTATGGCAAATACCAATGAAACTACAAGTTTCCTAACATTAACTCATCCCTTTATATGTCAAGACTTATGCTTGCCAAAACCGGTTTGGCTCAGTGGACAGAGCGTCAACCTGTGGATTGCAAGTTCCCGGGTTTGATTCCAGTCAAGGGCATGTACCTTGGTTGTGGGCACATCCCCAGTAGGAGGTGTGCAAGAGGCAGGTGATCGATGATTCTCTCTCATGGATGTTTCTGACTCTCTATCCCTCTCTCTTCCTCTCTGTAAAAAAATCAATAAAATATATTAAAAAAAAAAAAACTTAGCTTTTTTACTCTCACAATCCTGTTTTGACCAGCCCTGGCCAGGTAGCCCCATTGGTTGCAGCTTCAATCATCCCAATACACCAATGTGGCTGGCTCAATCCCCAGTGGGGGCACATACAAGAATGCACAAATAGGTGGAACCACAAATTGATGTTTCTCTCTCTCTCAATCCCACCCCCCAAATAAAAACAGAAAACATTTTTAAGTCCTTTTTATCAGATGAGGAGATGCTCTTCACTTACACATGCACAAAACACTAAGTATTACAAAAAGAAATCTCCAAGGGGAAGTAGAAATGTCCGCCTTCCACAGACCAAAGCGACAAACCTTATTTGGGGAATCTGGAAAACACAACCTACCGTTTTTGTAATCTTGCAGCACACGCACTGCTTTATTGTTAAAAATACATATTTTACAACAGGACAAGTATACACAGACTAAGACGGCAGGCCCCGTGCGCAGCCCGAGCCACACTGACGCCTGAGAGCCACTTAGTGCTCTGACAGCGGCTGCGCGGGGGCAGGAATAAATAATAGTGCTTCGGCGAGAATCGTAGTGACCAGTAGGTTAGTAGCTCGGGATGGGGCCCCACTGGGTACAGAGCAGTGGGAACAGCGCCCCCAGGACTGACATGTGCAAACTTCTAGATCCCCAACAAAGTGTCTAAGGACCCGCCAGGCCTGTGATGGGCTTCAACCCCTAAGCCAGGCCGTGGTAGCGGGCCGGCCCAGGGTTTCCAGCAGGCCCAGCCGGGAGAGGAAGGAGAGCCGCCAGGCTAGGCGCAGGAAGCCACGGCTGGCTGGTCAGGGCGTCTTAGGGATGGATGTTGGTTGAATTGAGGATTCGGGACGTAGCGTCAGATTTGGAGGCCTTTGAAAGTTCTCGCTGTGGGAAAATAAGCACCGTCAGTGCAATATCCCCTTCCATGCATGCCCGCCCTCGTCAGCCTGGGTTAGTGTCAGCGTGAGGCCCCTGAGGGCCGCTTCTCGGCCCCAGGTGCAGAGCAAGGCTGTTAGGAACGAACGGGAGGCACTTCGAGCGCCGTTCTACTAGTCATAGGCTACGCACGTGACCCTCCCCGCAGCCAGTCCACCTGTTAAACCCCACGGAAGAGGGATCCCTCTGAGTTGCTGAGCTGGGCTGGCAACAAGCTCTGGCGTCTGAGGCCTTTATAAAACCAGGGCCAGACCACATATCTACCAATCCCTGGGGCTGAGGGCCTTGTAACCTGGTGAGCTGATCTCATGCTGGAGCACATGGTACAGAGGAGGAGAGAGCACAGAGGACCTTGACAAGGACAGGAGTTAGTAGAGGTTAGTCTGCTGGCTGCAGCGCGGCCACTCACAGCCACCAAAACCACACGCACCTCCTGAGGCCTGACCACAGGAAGCAGGGACAGGTGCGCTCCGAGTGGGTGACGTGGGGCTTGACTGAGCAAGCCCAAGAGAGACGCCTGGACCCTCGGTCCAGAATTCAGCGAGCCAGAGCGCACCCAGGGAGAACCACAGCCATCACGTGACTTGAAAGAAGTGCCAGAACAGGAAGCTAACTTCAGGGCTCAGAGTGAGCTGTAGCCATTCTCCATCTCCCAGCAGGAAGCGAGCTGGCACCTGAGCCCGTAACCCCGAGGGAAAGGCAGCCCCATCCTCTCAGCAGGAAGACACTGAGAGAAGAGGGCACACCCCTTCCGGAAAGGGCACTGCAGGGAAGTGCTGGCAAATATGGAGGCCACAGGAGCTGAAGAGCATTCTGGGGAATGACTATCCCTTTAGCAGCTCACTGGGATAGGAACAGGCAAAGGCGAGGAAATGGCGTTGGCCAGCCCAGAGCGGACAGACGGGGCACCAGCCCGGAGGGTTAGTAAGGCACATACTCCAGGAGAACATCACGTAGGCCGAGCACCTCGTTCTAAGCAGCACACAGCTGGGGCTCCCCTCCCAGGCCACAGCTATTCTTTCCAGCACGTGGGGGCCCCTGGCGTCACCATGGGGACGGTGAAAGCTTCCTGTTGTGAGTAACGCGATACAAAAACTACGCCTGACTCTATGGGGGGCTGAGAATCCAATTCCGTCTGCACGCGACTGCTTGTTAATGGGCAGGTTAGGGCGCAGGAATGAGCCGGGGGCTGGTCATGCCGTCTGCCTCTGGAATGCCTGCCCCCTTTGTAAAAAGGCCTGCGGCTGCAGAGCTGACGCTTACTGGTTAGTGTAGCCCCGAGCCCAGATCGGAATGAAGCCAGCAGATGACAGACCGGCTTGAGGAAGGGACGTGGGACATGCAGAGGCTGCCATACAGACCTGAAGCCCACCAGCGGAGCTGTCAGAGAGGGACGGATCCTTCTAAGGACAGAGAATTAAGACAATTACCAAGAACTCCACCAAGAGAGCACCAGGGCAGGGATGCGAAGGGTCGCCTCCTGCAGCCAGGGAGTGGTATTTCTTAAGCAGAAGGATCCAGGTTACATGTCTGCTGCTGCTGTCAACTTCCTACGTACCCCCTCCCAGAACCGGTCCACCCCAGGCCACGGTCAAGGCGGGAAAGGGATTCTCAGCCTCCAAAACGCTGTCCCGGCTAAGAGCCCGGGCCCCATAGGAAGATGCCCACTGCCCCAACTGTGTGCTCCCAGAGACTGGCAGATATGAGAAAAGGTCAATTACCGCAAACTCAGAATAGGTGCTGGCAACAGAGTTAATGCTGAAGTTGTGCTGGAGGGGGGCTGAGCCGGGGTACCCACCGCTCAGCAGGCTGCCATTGAGCTCCATGTTCTCCTTGTCGGCTCCGTACCGACCAGCACGGGGGTTTTTCTTCCCTGAGCAGGTGGCAGTGAGGACTGGCTGCGGGGAAAGGAGCGATTGGTATGGTACTCTTATAACGGCCACACACACACACACACACACACACTCACACTATACCATCTTAATATCACTCATGTGTCGGTAATCCGATACAGCACTTCTGATGTAAAAAACAAACAATAAAAAGTCTTGCCAAAACTTGTTTGGCTCACTGGATAGAGCGTTGGCCTGCGGACTGAAAGGTCCTGGGTTCGATTCGGGTCAAGGGTTGCAGGCACATTCCCAGTAAGGGCTGTGCAAGAGGCAGCTGATCGATGATTCTCTCTAGTCGATGTTTCTAACTCTATCCCTCTCCCTCTCTCTTCCTCTCTGTAAAAAATCAATAAAAAATATATTTAAACACACACACACACACACACACACACACACACACACACACAAAACAACCCCTTAATGATTTTCAGAACACCTATCTTGGGCATCATCTGTAAAACACATCACAGCACAGACTCCCCATCTGTCTCCTTAAAGGGGACCTGCCTGCCTGCTGACGCCGTGTCAGGGCTGAGACCCGCGTGCAGGGCCCGTGCTCAGCAGCCACGGCAGCCCTGGCTCTGAACTGAGCCTGGAGACCCCAGCCCAGGGCTCCCCATGACGCCTGGCCACGCTCTTTTCTCTCTCATGCGGTTCTAGATGAACCAGCTTGCAGCTGCCACCTGCAGCATCTCAGTGATAACTGAGTCCGGGGGTCTGAGAAACCGGAACCAGCAGGCAGGGTCCCGGGATAAACAGGCTGGGGTGGTGCTGGGGACGGGCTTGTCCGCAGAACGTACTAACCTTGCTGCCAGAAGGCGGGAGTCGAGACACAGGGGAGCGGTAGACTGTTCCCCCAAAGGCAGGCCGGATGCTGCTGTTGGCCGTGGCATTGGACATGGTGGTGGTGTTCAGCTGAGGAGAACAGAGAGGTTACACATTCAGGTAACAAGCTCAGCCATCCACCCCCAGACTCAGAGAAAGGAGTCTGGGCAGCAGACTGACAGAGATGCATTTCCATAAAGAGCTTTGAAGAAACTTGTGAAAAGTGTTCAAGGCCTATCTATGTATAGTACATGGAACTATAAAATGGTATAATCACCTGTTTCTAAAATTAGACAGACACCTATCATATGACCCAGCCCAGGAGAAAGGAAAGCACAGCTCCATACAGAGACTCAGACATAAATATTTATAGCAGCTTTGTCTGCAATAGCAAACAACCAGAAACAAGCCAAAATATTCACGGATAGGCGGATAGATAGGCCAAAGCGTGAAGTCATACAGTGGAAACTGCTCAACAACAGAAAGTATGACCTTCTGATGCATGCGACACCATGATCCATCTCTCCAAATTACGCTAAATGAAAGAAATTATGGGCCGAAACGGGTTTGGCTCAGTGGATAGAGCGTCGGCTTGCAGACTGAAGGGTCCCGGGTTCGATCCCGGTCAAGGGCATGTCCCTTGGTTGCAGGCACATCCCCAGTAGGGGGTGTGCAGGAGGCAGCTGATGGATGTTTCTCTCTCATTGATGTTCCTGTCTATTCCTCTCCCTTCTTCTCTGTAAAAAAATCAGTAAAACAGATTTTTAAAAAAGTAATAAAAAATTAAAATTAAAATGGTTTTATATATTGTAAATCTCAAATGGACTCAACGGAAAGTCTCCAAAGACCCTCCATCCCTGCAGGACAACCTGCCGGAGAGATGGCAGGAGCCGGCGTGGCCCGCCCTCCACATGCCTCACCGCAGTGGTGGGAGCCCCTTACCCTGCGCACTTTGCCCGGGGTGGTGGGCGTCAGTCCCCGCCGCTTGTTGGGCGTCCTGGGAGTGCTGCCGTACAGCATCTCGGCCTCCGTCTGCTTCTTGTTCTTCAGTTGCTGTGTGACAGTCAGAGCGACAGTGACACATCCGGGAGATCAGGTCTGGGCCGCTCACGTGACCCCCCTTCCCTCTTCCCAAACGGGGCCCACGTACCCGCTCCTGCTTGGCTCGCTCTTTCTCTAACCGATGCATCTCCCACTGCTCAGCCACATACTCCATGAATTTCTGCCCGTGGACCTCAAAGGCTGTCGAGTGTTTCTGTTCCCACATTTCAATCTGGGCCTTCAATTCCTCTTCCAGCTGAGACCAGACACAAGCACATGTTATTTTATTTTATTTTTTTAAATATATTTTATTGATTTTTTACAGAGAGGAAGGGAGAGGAATAGAGAGTCAGAAACATCGATGAGAGAGAAACATCCATCAGCTGCCTCCTGCACACTCCCCACTGGGGATGTGCCCGCAACCAAGGCACATGCCCTTGACTGGAATCAAACCTGGACCTTTTAGTCCGCAGGTCGACACTTTACCCACTAGGCCAAACTGGTTAGGGCTATTTTATTTTTTTTACAGAAAGGAATGGAGAGGAAAAGAGTTAGAAACATCTATGAATCACTGATCAGCTGCTTCCTGGACACTCCCCACTGGGGATGTGCCTGCAACCAAGGTCCATGCCCTTGACCGGAATCGAACCTGGGACCTTTCAGTCCGCAGGCAGATACTCTATCCACTGAGCCACACCGGTCAGGGCTAAGCACGTGTTATTTACTTCAGACCTGAAGAAAATTATTTTCCCTAAAAATGATTACTCCTTCCCCAGAGCATCACCGGGCTGACTCGGGGGAGCCGGACCCATGTGGGGAAATGTCAGAGCAGCTGAAATCAAAGGCGAGGGAGGGTGTGCTCCCAGCACACAGGCCCGGCGCTGCCGCGGGTTTTGGTGCTGAAAGTGAGGGGACGGCGTGCAGCGCGGGCAGCACCGTCTGGGTCAGACCTGGGGCCTGCCTCCTGGGAGCCGTGAAAAGTGGGCGAACTCCGTAACTTCCCAGCGCCCCTTTCCTTCTGCAAAAAGGGGAAGCACTTGGAATATTACCTGGCCCTTCGTTCAGTATATACTACTACTATTATTATTATTATTATTATTAAGATAGGGAAGATACTTGAGCCCACAGAACTTGCTCAGATAAAGAGCTTGCTCTGTGTTATCGGCTGAACGGACTGACATACAGCCCAGCGTTCCTTATCCTTTGAAAGAGAAGCTTGGGGCAAATGATTCAAAGCAAAGAATCCACAAGAAGTGAGGTGTTTTGTAGCCAAGCACCAGACCATTGCCACTATTACCTTCGGGAGTGTTTTTTGGAGCCTGGCTCGCTGCTTCTCCTCCTTCAGAAGATTTCCTCCGCGATTTGTAAACCGACTTGGATCAGAGGCTTTTCTCTGTGGAAATACATTTGAATCAGAGTAAACCCTGGGACAGGCAGTCAGACCCATCACTGCTGCTAGGACTCCTTGCTGTCATACCCGGATGTAGATTATTAACCCACTGTACGCCATAAGCATCTGTAGACGCAAGTGGCAGACCTTCCCCACACACCTCACGCGTCTATAAAAAAAAACAAAAAAAAACAAACAAGTTTCCCTAAGTGATCTTCCCTAGGTCCGCAGGCCGATGCTCTATCCACTGAGCCAAACCGGCCAGGGCAAGGACAGGCTTTAATACTTCATTGTCCTGAGGAAAACAGGAAAGTGAGGGCAGTACCTCAAAATCCAAGAAAAGCCTCCAGCTTTCCTCCCACTTCTGCACGCCTTCGAAGAGCTCTCTGTGCACCTCGAAGTAGTTTCTCAGCCGCACCACCTCAGCGTCGTGGGCCTGGAGCAGACTTTCCGTGTAGTCCTCTGCAAGACAGAAGCCCAGGAGGTTTCAAAAATCCCTCTAGCGTTTAGTTTCTTACTTTCTAACCCCTCATTCCCTAAGCTGGAACTAGATTATTCTTCACTATAGTAAAAATGCTCCATGAATAAGTACACCTTGTGGATAATAAAAATCGGGTTTGGCACCATGAGCCCGGAGGGACCATGGAGTAAGGACCTGACGTGGGGACTAAAATGACTAAGATTCGCAAACCTCTGTGTCATCTCTCGCTTCTCTTAGCTTTCTTTCATACCTTTCGTTTCCACCCTGCTCAGGAGTGGTGTGGGTCCCAGAGCATGTCCCCAGTGTGGAATCTGGAAGGTAACCTCATCTTTATACTCAGTTCAGGTCAGACTACAATTCTGTGGGCTCCGGGGTCAGACTCTGTGGCCTTAAATGTGCCTCTGCTTCAAGTTGCTCAACAGTTATGCACCTTTGTGTCTTCATCTCTTCACTTGAGATTGAGATGTTATTGCTAAGTTTGCCATTGCACCTGGCATACACCAAGCGCTGATAAACCTGAGCGTCACATCCGCAGGCTACAGTGATAAGCTGCTTCAGAGATCAAGACATCCCTTATTTCCCAGAAGCATCTGCAAATGCTCACTGATGCAGCAATGGCAACTCATGGTGAAAGGCTTGAGAAGGCAGTTTTATCTGCTCAGCAGAGGAAACTTTCTGGTGACACCTGCACTTCTTTACAAGTATATGTAAATATAAAGGCCAGCGCTCCGGTACTGACCGTCATAGTACGCAGCGAACGCCTGCCTCTGCTCCTGGCTGTAGAAACACTGGTCCCAGTACTTGGCCAGCTCCACACGTATCGCCTCAATCACTTTCTTCATGTTTTGCATTTTCAGTTCCTCCAAGCGATCCACTTCCAATTGCAGCTGAAACGCAGATATCTGGTCAAGGTGCTTGTTCTACATTACATTCAGAGCTTTGCAAAAGTTTTCCATTTTTATTTATTTATTTTTGTTAATCCTCACCCAAGGATATTTTAAAAATATATATTTTTATTGATTTCAGAGAGAAAGCGAGAGGGAGCGAGAGACAGAAACACCAATGATGAGAGAGAAACCTTGATCAGCTGCCTCCTGCACACCTCCTAACGGGGATTGAGCCCGAAACCCGGGCATGTGCCCTTGACTGGAATTGAACCCGGGACCCTTCAGTCAGCAGACTGACCCTCTATCCACCGAGCCCAACTGGTTAGGGCCAAGGATATTTTCCATCCTTTTTTTTTTTTTTAAGGGAGAGTGAAAGGAGAGGGAAAGACAGAGAAACACTGATGGGAGAGAAACACATCGATTGGGTTGCCTCCTGCATAGCCCCGATGAGGCCTGGGCCGGGGAGGAGCCCGCAACCAAGGTGCATGCTCCTGACCAGAATCAAACCGGGACCCTTTGGTTCGCAGGCCGACGCTCTATCTACTGAGCCAATCTGGCTAGAGCAGAATTTTCCTTTTTAAATAAAATTATTGCACAAAATCACAGGGGTAAGTGGACACTCTCACAATGCTATCAAAGGAGCCAGAAACCTAAGAATGGTACAGAAAGCCGAAACCGGTTTGGCTCAGCGGATAGAGCGTCGGTCTGCGGACTGCAAGGTCCCGGGTTCGATTCTGGTCAAGGGCATGTACATTAGCTGCGAGCACATCCCCAGTAGGGGGTGTGCAAGAGGCAGCTGGTCGATGTTTCTCTCTCATCGACGTTTCTATAATAGCTCTCTATCCCTCTCTCCTCCTCTCTGTAAAAATTCAATAAAATATATTTTTTAAAAAAGAAAGGTACAGGAAGATAAAAGATAAGTGGGTTACTGCCACCTTTTTCTAATGCTGAGTTTAAAATAGACTTGCTCGCCCTGGCCAGTGTGCTCAGTGGTCAGAGCATTAGCCTATGCACCGAAGGGGTCTCAGATTTGATTCCTGGTCAAAAGCAGGTGCCTGCGTTGCTGGTTTGATCCCCAGTCTGTCAGGGTGCATGTGAAGGCAACTAATTCATGTCTGTATCACATCAATGTTCCTCTCTCTCCCTTCTACTCTCTAAAAATCAATTGAGAAAATATCCTCGGGTGAGGATTAACAACGACAAAGAGACTTGTTCAAGGCAGACATTGATAAAGACATGAGATCAGACACAAAAATGCCTGCAGAGACTACGGACCCACACCCTATGCGTTTCCTACCGCTTTCTTAACTTTGGCCTTCGACCCAGTCATGGCCATGGCCTCAACAGCTTCTCTCTCTTCTTCAGGTATTTGCAGCCTGTCCCACAGCTCCCGGATCTGAGCCCGCAGCCCCTCACACACTTCTTCGTTCTGTGATTTCCACACTTGCAGCTGTGGAAGGAGACAGTGGTTACTGCGAAGGCAGCAGCCGAGGCTAGCTCTCTGGCCTCCCAGAAAGCAGTATCTGGACCCGATGCAGAGTAAGTACTGTTATAAGACTGTGAAGAGGTGTTTTCATGACTTCTGAACACAAACTTAAGCCTGTCATTTACAGCAGGATCTCACACCCCAAGAATTAGGATGCAAATTTTGAAATAAATTTTTTTTCTAATGGAGAAGGGTAATAGGGGAAAAAAGAGGGACACCTGTAATAATTTCAACAATAAAGATTAAAAATTTTTTTCAACTAAACACTAATTCAATGAGTATTATTTCATCCACCATTTCAATTTCATATTCTTAGAGCAACATATATATTTTTCGCTTTAAAAAATCATGTTTGTATGTATGGGGGGGGGGGCAATGTTAAAATATGTACAGATAATTATTTAATTTAAAAATAAATAAATAAATAAAATAATAAAAAATCATGTTTGTATATCATATACTATCTTCATTCTCCCTTCCTCATTCTCTTAACCTACACTGGGTCCTAAAAAACACTGCAGGGGGGAAAAAACTGTCCCTTTTTTTCAAATTGCTGGAAACGATGGAGACGAGATCACAGGCCATGTTCGGAATGGCCGTTACCTGCTGTAGCAACTTCTGTAGCGCTGCAATGTTTTCCAAAGACAGACAAAAGGCATCTTCATCTTCGCACACCACATCTCGCTCGAAGCTTGTATCTGGGGTGTGATCTAACTCTTCCATGCACAGTATGATCTGTCTTTTGATGGTGACAAACTCCTCACGCCGAGACGCCTGTAAAATCGAATGATCAGAGGACGCCCACAGGGAAGTCAAACTGACTTTCAGGAAGTATGGAGGCGAGGGGTGTACCTTTGTTTCCCTCAGAGTTGCCAGATGCTGTCTGAACTGGTTCAGCTCCTCCAGGCTGGGAACAGCATCGCTGTCGATGTCATATGGCGGCACGCAGAGCACTTCACACAGCTCTTGATCCTGTTCCGTAAGCAGCTTCAGTTCCCGTTTCCTGTCCTTTTTCTGTTTGCGCATCAGCTCCACCTGAGTGCGCAGGTCTTTTTCGAGTTGCAAGATGGTCGGCTCTCCTTCCTCCTGTAGGAGAGGATGTACCACTGTTACAAGTTCCAAGTGCATTTCCTCAAAGGAAGAGTAGGACGACTGACAAATACATCAGTCCATGGCACAGTATCATCTCTGCCTAACTTTTCCTGAGAGTTAAAAATAAAAAGTTGAGCCGAAACTGGTGTGGCTCAGTGGATAGAGCGTCAGCCTGTGGACTGAAAGGTCCCGGGGTTTGATTCCGGTCAAGGGCATGTACCTTGGTTGCGGGAACATCCCCGGTGGGGGGTGTGCAAGAGGCAGCTGATGGATGACTCTCTCTCATCGATGTTTCTGACTCTCTGACCCCCTCTCTTCCTCTCTGTAAAAAATCAATAAAATATATTAAAAAAATAAAATAAAATAAAAAGTTGTAGTATATGCCTCACAGACAGATAGCAGGAGGAAGTGTTTTAGACTAAAGTACTGCCAACACTCATAGCGGATTCACCCTGGCAAGCTGCCCCTCCTGGGAGCACAGCCACGCCTCCCCCTCCCCCTCCGGGGGCCTCTCCGGACTCTGAGTGCCCAGGAGACTTACAATCAGGGGAGCGATGGGCAGGGTCTTGTCCCGGGCCGACCCCCTGCACCTGTCTCCATGGCCCCCTTTTCTCTAACTTCCCAAAACAGCTCCCGTGAGACTCTCTCCTATTTCTTCTATCCTAGGCCCTTCCTTGTTTTGAGGTCCCCAGCTTTAATAAACAAACTCTCAAAAAAAGAAATTAGCTGCTTCACCTCTCAACGGGGCAACTCTTTATGGCAGTAAAAATGCCTGCTGGGCCCTGGCTGGTGTGGCTCAGTGGCTAGAGCGTCGGCCTGGGGCGCTCAAGGGCACATGACCAGGTTGTGGGCTGGATCCCCAGTGGGGGACTTGCAGGACGCAGCCGATCCGTGACTCTCTCTCATCATGGGTGTTTCTCTCTCTCCCTCTTCCTTCCTCTCTGAAATCAATAAAAAATAAAAAAATTAAAAATGTCTGCTGGAACTGGTTGGCTAGTCAGCACATTTCCCCAACTTCTCGTGTCCAAGACCACCCTGATACAGAAACCCTCCACTCAGCCTAAAGGCAAAGCTCCTGCCTCAATCTCAGACCCAAACAGGAGCCCAGACCCTGTGTACCTGAAATGGCTCAACATGCAACTCGCTGCACAGGACAGCCAACTCTTTTTGACAGTTGCCTATGCTTTTAATGAGCCTTTCCTTCAGACTTTCCTCTTCAGCAATCATCATGTCCAGGAGGTCCTACCAAAGGGAAGACAGCCCCATAAAACCTGGGACTAAGGGGGGGAAAAAACCCCAAACAACAAGTAACACCCAAACACCAATCGTTTCAAAAATGTAAGACCCGTGTCCTCCTGCCAAGGCACCAGCACGAAGCTCACCTTGATATGCTTGTGCACCACCTGGGTTCTCTGTAGCCGCTGGTCCTCGGGAATCCCAATCAGTTCCCATATCTCCCGAAGGTGACTCAGGGCTTTCTGGAGACACAGTATGGAGTCCTCCGCAATCACCTCACTGCAAAGCAAACGGGAAACCAGCTGAGTGAGCCACTACCTCTGACATACTAAGAGAAATAGTTACCGCCCTGGCTGGTTTGCTCAGTGGTTAGAGCATTGCATCACAGACCAAAGAGCCTCGGGTTCAATTCCCCTTTATTCCCAGGCAAGGGTACAGTGTAACCAAGTGATGTTTCCCTTTCACATCAATGTTTTTCTCCCTCTCCCCTCCTCTCCATTCTCTCTCTCTCTCTCTCTCTCTCTCTCTCTCTCTCTCTCTCTCTCTCTCTCTCTCTCTCGGGGGGGGGGGGGGGAGGGAGGGAGGGGGCCTGTCCTGCACTAGAGATTGAGGTGCAGAGCAAGCATGTCAAACTCTCAGCCCACAGGTTGCATGCCTCATTTGACTCGTTAGCCTTTGAGTTTGACATGTTTAGGATCTACCTAATACATAGGCACAAACCCCAAACAGAAAGCCACATGGAGACAAACAAACACACCCCAAATGAAAGAGAATTCTCCAGAAGAAGAGATAAATGAAGCAGAGATAAGAAATTTATCTGAATCAGAGTTCAGAATAATGATGGTAAAAATGCTCAACAGCATGAAAAAAGATATACTGGCAGTAACAATGAAAAAAGTACAGTCTGAGATAAAGAATAACATAACAAATAAAGAACACATTGGAAGGAATACACAGCAGATTAGGGGAAGCTGAGGATCAAATTAGTGAATTAGAAGACAGAGTTGAAAATATTACTCAATCAGAGAACCAAAAAGAAAAAAACAGGAGAGCTTAAGGGAGCTGTGGGATAATGTGAAATGTAACAATATTAGAATAGCAGGCATGCCGGAAGAGGCAGAAAGGGAGACAGACAGAGAGAAGGTGTTTGAAGAAATAATGGCAGAAATCCTGCCTAACCTGGTAAAGGAAAAAGTCACATTAGTGCAGGAGGCACGGAGAACCCTAAACAAGAACCCAAACAGGCCCACGCCCAGACACATAATAATTCAAATCCAAAAAGTAAAGACAAGAGCATCTAAAAGGCAGCAAGAGAAAACTGTTACCTATAAAGGACTTCCCATAAGGCTGACACCAAACAAACTAACTCAGCAGAAACTCAATAGGCCAGAAGGAAATGGCATGAAGTACTCAACATAAGGGAAAGCAAGGATCTGAGACCAAGATTACTATACCCAGCAAGGTTATCATTCAAAATAGACAGTCAAATACAGAGCTTCCCAGACAAAAAAGGTTAAAGGAGTTCATCACCACCAAGCCAGCATTACAAGAAACGCTAAAAGGATTGCTGTAATGAGAATAGAATTACCTAGCCATACAGAATTAAAATGGCAATAAATAAGTACCTCTCAAAAATAAACCTAAGTGTAAACGGATTACATACTCCAGTCAAAAGGTGTAGGGTAGCTGAGTAGATACAAAAACATGACACAACTATATGCTGTCTCCAAGAGACATACCTTGAAACAAAAGACACACACAGGATGAGAGTGAAGGGATAGGAAATTTTTTCCCATGCAAATGGAAAAGAAAAAAAAGCTGGAGTAGCAATACTCATATCTGACAAAATAGACTTTAAAATGAAGGCCATCACAAGAGACAACAAAGGTCACCACATAATACTAAAGGGATCGACCCAACAAGAGGATATAACTCTGGTAAATATATATGCACCCAATGGAGGCACACCTAAATATATTAAAAACAAACAAACACAAAAAACAACAAAACTTCTAGAGGACTTTAACGGAGAAATTGACAACTATACAGTCATAGTAGGGGACTTTTAACACCCTTCTGACTTCACTGGATAGATCTTCCAGACAAAAACTTAACAAGGAAACAGCGACTCTAAATGACACAATGGATCAGATGGATTTAATTGACATTTATAGAACATTTCTCCCCAATGCAGCAGAATATACATTCTTCTCAAGAGCACATGGATCATTCACAAAGATAGACCTCATGTTAGAACACAAAACAAGCCTCTATAATAGGGGTGTCGAACTCAATCAGAGAAGGGGCCAAAATCTAAAATCCAGCCTAAATCGCGGGCCGAATGGTTTACTGAACAGTCATAAACTGTCATTGTGATGGAAACGCAGCAGAGTGCAGTGATGACAGCGCGGTGCGGGCCACATTGCAAGGCCTGGCGGGACGGATTTGGCCCGCGGGCCTTGTGTTTGACACATGTGCTCTATAAGTTGAAGATGGTATCATAGTAGAATAAAATCAACTACAGTGAAAACGCCCCAAAACATCTAAAACATGGAGACTAAATAGCATGTTATTAAACAGTGAATGGTTACCAATGAGATCAAGAAAAAGTAAAAAAGTTCCTGAAAACAAATGAAAATGGAACATATAACAACTCCAACTCTCTGGGACACAGCAAAAGCAGCCCTCTGAGGGAAGTTCATAGCACTACAGAATTCCTCAAAACAAACAAACAGGCAATAAACTATTTAACCCTACAACTTAAAGAACTATAATAGAAAGAGAATAATAAGAAAAACCCAGAACAAGTAGAAGGAAGGAAATAGTAAAGATTCGAGCAGAAATAAGTACCATAGAGACTAAAAAAATAATAATAATAAAATAAAAATCCGTGAAACCAAGGGCTGGTTCTTTGAAAGAATAAACAGAATTGATAAACCATTAGCCAGCCTCATCAAGAAAGAGAGGGGACCAAATAAATAAAACCAGAAAATGAAGTGGAGAAGTAACACTGACACCACAGAAATCCAAAGGACTGTGAGCAAACACTATGAACAACTACATGCCAACAAGCTGGACAATGTGGACGAAAGAGACATATTTCTACAAAAATACAATCTCCTAAAACTAAATCATGAAGAATAAAAAGAAACCTGAATAGGCCAGTAACAACTGAGGAAATAGAAGCAGAAATCAAAAAACTCCACCAAACAAAAGCCCAAGTCCCAATGGCTTCATGGGGGACTTTTACCAAACATTCAAAGAACTCACACCAATACTCCTCAAACTATTTCAGAAAATCCAAGAGGAAGAAGGAACACTCCAAACTCTTTTTATGAGGCCAGCATTATCCTAATTTCAAAACCAGATAAAGACACTGCAAAGAAAGAGAATTACAGGCCAATATCCCTAATGAACACAAATGCTAAAATCCTCAATAACACACTAACAAATGGCATCCAGCAATATCAGTCATACACCATGATCAAGTGGGATTTATTCCAGGGGTGCAAGGCTGATACAATACTTGCAAATCAATAAATGTGATACATCACATAAACAAACTGAAGGACAAAAATCACATGACCATGTCAATAGACGCAGAAAAAGCATTCGACAAAACCCAACACCCATTTTTGATAAAAACTCTCAGCAAAGTGGGAACACAGGGAGCATATAGCAACATGATAAAGGCCATGTATGACAAATTTACAGCCAACATCATACTCAATGGGCAAAAACTAAAACCATTCCCCCTAGAACAGGAACAAGAAGGGCTGCCCACTCTCCCCACTCCTGTTTGACATCATATTGGAAGTGCTAGACATAGCGATCAGATAAGAAGAAGAAATAAAAGGAATTCAAGTTGGAAAAGAAGTAAAACTGTCATTATTCGCAGATGACATGACATTGTACATAGAAAACCCCAAAGACTCCATCAAAAAATTACTAGACTTAATAAATTCAGCAATGTAGCAGGATACAAAATTAATACCCAGAACTCTATGGCTTTTTTTACACACCAATAATGAACTCACAGGAAGGGAAACTAAAAAAAAAAATTTTTAAGTCCCATTTACCGTTGAAACAAAAAAATTAAAATACCTAAGAATAAACTTAACAAAGGAGGTAAGAGACCTGTTTTTGGAAAACTATAGGACGTTAAAAAAAGATAGAGGAAGACATAAACAAATGGAAAAATATAAAGTGTTCATGGGTTGGTAGAATCAACGTCATTAAAATGTCCATACTACCCAAAGCAACCTATAGATTCAGTGCAATCCCCACGAAGCTACTGTTGGAAACCGGTCATTGTCCCACTAGCAGAAAGGTGTGGACAAGGAATGGGAAAGCTGGTTAATCTTGGAAGCTCTGGAAGGTCAGAGCTAATCACTCACTGTTTAGCTGAGACATTTGTAGCCGAAGCAGCCTCGACCTGTTAGTCCTGTGTAAATTCCTGCTGATTGACTATGATTGGAATTGCCTGCCTAAAGGCTATGGGTGCATCCCATAATCTTAATAAAAGGGATGGCAAGGCCAGAGTGGGTTGTAGTCCTCTCTTGGGCTTCCACCTGACCCCCATTTCCCAAATTAATACATTTCTCGTTTCTTTCATTTGTGTGCGGCCTGGCCTCCTTTAGGACCCGAACCCTGAACCTGCACCCTGAACCACGCAGGGCGTGAAAGGGGTTCCCACAAGATAACGATGCAATATCTCACAGATCTAGAACAAACCCTCCAAAAATTATCTGGAATAAAAAAATACCCTGGCTAGCCGAAGCAATCCTGAGAAGGAAGAACAAAGTTGGAGGAATCACAATACCAGATATTAAGCTATCTTACAAAGTCACTGTTTTCAAAACTGCCTGGTACTGGCACAAAAACAGACATATAGACCAAATGGAACAGAACAGAGAATCCAGAAAACAACCAAAGCCATTATGCTCAATTATTATTTGACAAAGGACCATACAATGGAGGCAAGATATTCTCTTCCTTGCCCTAACCAGTTTAGCTCAGTGGATAGAGCGTGGGCCTCCGGACTCAAGGGTCCCAGGTTCGATTCCGGTCAAGGGCATGTACCTTGGTTGCAGGCACATCTCCAGTAGGGGGTGTGCAGGAGGCAGCTGATTGTTGTTTCTCTCTCATAGATGTTTCTAACTCTCTCTCCCTCTCCCTCTCTGTAAAAAAATCAATAAAATATATATATTTTAAAAAAGCTAAGTCTCTTCCATAAATGAAGTTGGAAAAATTGGACACATGCAAAAAATAAAAATAAAAAATGTGAAACTAGATCACTAACTTACACCATACACAAAAATAAACTCAAAATAGATAAAGGACTTAAATGTAACACAGGAAACCATAAAAATCTTAGAAGAATCCATAGGCATTCAGACATATGTCGTAGCAATAACTTTATATATAGCTCCTAAGGCAGGGGAAAACTAAGGAGAAAATAAACAAATGGGACAACATCAAAATAAAACGCTTCTGCACAGCAAAGAAACCATCAACAAAACAAGAAAGCAAGGGGAGAACACATTTGCCAATGTTATATCCGATAAGGGTTTAATCTCCAATATTTAAAGGGAACTCATACAACTTAAAAGATTAATAATCCAATAAAAATATGGGCAAAGAACTGACACTTTGCGAAAGAGGACATACAGAAGGCCAAGAGACGTGTGCAAACATGCTCAAAGTCACTAATCATCTGAGAGAGGCAAATCAAAATGACAATGAAATGACACCTGTCAAAACGGCTATCATCAAACAAACACCAAGTGCTGGCGAGGATGCAGTGACAAAGGAAGCCTCGCGCACTGCTGGTGGGCATGCAGACTGGTGCAACCACTTGTGCGGAAACAGCATGGACTTCCTTAAAGCAATTAAAGACGGAACTCCCGTTTGACCCAGTAACTCCACTTCTAGAAACGTATCCCCAAAAATTAGAAACACCAATCAGAAAGGACATAAACACCCCTATGTTCACAGGGGGCTGCCCAGCCTAGCGCAGGGGCCAGGGGGGCAGGGGAGAGGGTGTGAGCGGCACCTGGTGAGACGCAGGTGGTCTGGGGCATCCGGGGCCGACCAGCCCCATCCATGGGCCACACCTGCTGCTGCCGCTGGTCAGAGAGATGGGGCTCTGGCCCCTTCAAGGCTAGGGGAGGCCTCGCAGGCCCCGTAGTGGGGAGCCGGGAAAGAAATAACACCCCCCCACCCCCAACACACACCCACAGCAGGAGCCCAGGGAGCAGTATGCCCGCTGCAGAGGGAGGGGGGACGCTGCAGGGGCAGAGGTGGCCAAGTGGGAGGTCAGTTCTCCCAGGGAGAGCAGGTGAATGGTCGCACCTGGTGAGAGGCGTGGCTGGGAAGCGAGACGCAGCCGGTGCCAGGCGGTGCCCAGAGTGGCCTGCGGGGCTGGGCCCGGCCCGCCCCGCCACCCACAACCCATGGGACGTCCCCTGGGAGCAGAGCCAGCGCCCAGAACATCGGGCTGGGAGCCCCGAGGAGGGGACCTGCTTACTGTAATATCAAATTGTCGTGTAACTTTCATTTTATTTATTTATGCATTTTAAAGTACAGCTTTCTAAATTAGCCTTATGCATGTCTTCTTACTGAAATATATATATGTATATATAAACATATATATATAAAACTTTTTAAATTAGCCTTATGCATGTCTTATTGAAATATGTATATACACATGCCTTTTTAAATTAGCCTTATCCATGTCTTTTTATGAAATATATATATATAAAACTTTTAAAATTAGCCTTATCCATGTCTTCTTATTGAAATAATAAGACATGGATAAGGCTAATTAAAAAAAAATATATATATATATATACACACACACACACACACACACACATTTCAATAAGACATCGATAAGGCTAATTTAAAAAGATTTATGTATTTATATATGTATAAATTTAAAATATATATAATTTCAGAGAGGAAGGGAGAGGGAGAGAGAGAGAAACATCCATGAAGACAGACCATCACACTGACCAGCTGCCTCCTGCACGCCCCGCACTGGGGAGGGGTCCAGCCCGCACCCCGGGCAGGTGCCCTTGGCCGGGGAATCGAACCCGGGACCAGTGCCAAGGCCGACGCTCTACTATCCGCCCAACCAAACCGGCGAGGGCGGGGAACGTTTATCTTAAAAGGCGAGAAGCCACGTTCCCCTCCGGCCCCAAGTCACAGGCTGGTCCATGACAGGGTGACGCCGAGGGTCCCGACCCCCCAGTCGGGCCTCCTCCCCCGGCGCCGAGTCGTTAAAACGACCGGAAGGGGAACCCCACACGGAGTTCCTTCACTTGCGAGGACCCCAAGCTCCCTTTCCGTTCAAGTCCGACGAAACGGAGCCCGAGGAACGGAGACAACACGGGCGTCCGGGTCCGGGGTGGCCTCCGCCCAGCCGGGCCCGCTACCCGCGCGTCGCCCGCCGCCGGCCCTGCCCGGCCGCGCCCCGGCCTCACCCGAGCGCGGGCCGAGGTGACACCCTCTGGAAGCCCCCCCACCGGCCCGGCACCCGGGACGGGCGTCCCCGACTCCCCCACACAGCCCGCACCTTCTCCTCATGATGGAAGTCTCCCGGTCACCGGACGGAAGGCGAGGTTCCCCGACCGACTCCACCCGGAACCGAGCGCCGCGACCCGCTCCCGACACCGGCTCGCACGGGATCTGCCAACTTCGCGAGCCGTTAGGCACCCGCGGGATTTCAAACCAAGCACCGTGGCGGGAACGGGCCTGCGATTGGTGCTCCGGCCTGTCGCTCCTCGCGAAACCCCGCCCCCACGGCCCCAGCAGAGTGTCGCGAGAGCTGCACGGATGCGGAGCTTGGGTTCGCCTCCTCCAGCGCGATCGGCCACGCCCGAGGGCGGGGCGCTTTCCTCGCTCGGCCACTGGGGGCGCTCTGGAGTAGCCGGCCCTGCCCCAACCCTGGGACGGTTTTGTTTTGAATTTTTTGTTGTTTAATCATCACCACAGGATATTTTTTAAAATTGATTTTTAAAGGGGACAAATGCAATACTTTCAACAACAAAGATTGAATTAAAAATAAATTTATTTTTTGCCCTGGCTGGTTTGGCTTAGTGCATAGAGCGTCAGCCAGTGGACTGAGGGGTCCCGGGTTCGATTCCGGCCAGGGGTGCATGCCTGAGTTGCAGGCTCAGTCCCCAGTGGGATGTGCAGGCAGGAGGCAGCCAGTCAGTGATTCTCTCTCATCATTGATGTTTCTGTCTCTCTCCCTCTCCCTTCCTCTCTGAAATCAATAAATATATTTTAAAAAATATAAAAAAATATGCCGAAACCGGTTTGGCTCAGTGGATAGAGCGTCGGTCTGCGGACTGGAAAGTCCCAGTTTCGATTCCGGTCAAGGGCATGTACATTGGTTGAGGGCACATCCCTAGTGGGGGGTGTGCAGGAGGCAGCTGGTCGATGTTTCTCTCTCATCGATGTTTCTAGCTCTCTACCCCTCTCCCTTCCTCTCTGTGAAAAATCAATAAAATATATTTAAAAATAAATAAAAATTAAAAATAGATTTTTAGAGAGAAGAAGGGAAAGAGCTCAATAGGGCACCGGACAGGGAATCAAACCTGCATTCTAGGCTGTGCCCTGACTGTGAATGGAATCCACCCACAACCTTTTGGTGTATCACGCAAGCTCTAACTAACTGAGCCACCGACCAGGGCGGTTTTTTATTTATATTTACCGGGAGCTAGAGAAACGTGGATTCATTCATAGTTGTGCATTCATTGGTAGCTTCTTGTGTGTGCCCTAAACAGAGATCCAACCACGCCCTGGCAGATAGGGGCTAAGCTCTAACCAACTGAGATGCCAACCAGGGCTCCCTGAAGGTTTGATTCCAAGTGCATCAGCGAGCCGACTGCCCAGGCGCTGCCCATAAACGCTTCCCTCCCACAGCAGCTGGGTGTGGCCGGAGCCCGTTACTAGAAAGGGCTTTCCTAGCCTCGCTCATCTGAGCAGCGAGCCTGGGAACTGATCTTCGGAGGCAATATTTCCCAGATGTAGGAAAAAGTGGAACCCTGCTCAGGGCCAGGAACTTTCTAGACCAGTTATCCCCTTTAATCACCACAATTCCATTCAGTGAATATGACCCCTATTTGACAGAGCCAGGGAACATTCTCAAAAAGATTTACCAGTTTTCTTCAGTGATTTTTGGTTGCACAATATCCTGGCATCTGGATATCTCATAATTCAGCTATTTTGTGTTGATGGGTACTTAGATTGCAGTTTTTACAAATAAACGTCTTCAGACATAAATCTTTGCACCATGTATTGTTCTAAGGTTGATTCCTACAAGTGTAACTACTGAACGCTCTTTCCAGAGAGGTTTAGCTATTCACTAGAGGCCCAGTGTATGAAATTTGTGCACAGGTAGCATCCCTAGGCCTAGCCAATGATCAGGGCCCACCCGGGGCCTTTCTTTGTTCCGCCCCCTAGCGGTCAGCGCACGGCATAGAAGGCGCTCAAACTCCTGGTCGGCAGAAATCCCGAGGGGATAAATTGCATATTAGCTTTTTATTATATAGCAGTGGTCCGCAAACTCATTAGTCCACAGAGCCAAATATCAACAGGACAACGATTGAAATGTCTTTGGAGAGCCACATTTTTTAACCTTAAACTTCTTCTAACGCCACTTCTTCAGAATAGACTCGCCTAGGCTGCAGTATTTTGTGGAAGAGCCACACTCAAGGGGCCAAAGAGCCGCATGTGGCTCGTGGAGCCACAGTTTGCTGACCACTGGGCTAGGGCAACAGACACATTTTGATGCGTAAGGAGTTGCAGAATTTTAGAAGTGGAAGGGTGCTTACTGATCATCGATCTGATCCACGTCCTCATTTGATGGTTCAGCAAAGGGCGAGTTTCCAGGGAGGCCCAGAGCAGGCCCAGAGCCACGAGGGTCCAGTCCACAGAGCACGTGAAACCCCCCAGGAAATCCCCTGTGCTTTCCGAGCAAAGATGGGAGAGCTGGTCCGGCACAAAAGCACGTGACATTGAATGTGAGGCTTTATTTACAACGGGACTCACCCAGGATATAGCAAAACATGTCTCGCTCATGTTTTCTCAGCATGGGCTGTACTTCATCACCAAAACAGGAGAACCACCTTGTGGAGGGTGACCCCCTCCTCTGATGCGTCCCCGCAATCCCAAACAAGTCCCGCTGCCCGGCCCTGAGCAGGGCGGCTGGGGGAGGGGCGTGGACGCGGCGGCTGAGGCCCCTCCTGCAGCCCCTGGGCAGCGTGTCCAGGGGCGGCGTCAGGCTTTCACCTCGCTCATGGCCTCCATGAGGCGGGCGCTGTTGGTGATGGCTGTCGTCAGGAAGATGAACCTGAAGCCTGAGGGGCCGAGAACACCAGCCGGGTGAGCACGGGCAGATCGGTGGCCCCTACCACGGGCCACGCTACGTAGAACCCCACCCCCCCACCCCCGCACCCCCGCTACAGCCCGGGCTGGATCCGAGAACCAGTGCGCAGGCCCAGACGGGACGGTGCCACGCTGCGGGCACAGCGACTGGCCACGCCCTGGACCTGGGCTCCTCACTCTGCAGCCCACGGCAGGTGCCACCCAGAGGGCAAAAGAGAACCTTCCAGAGTGCTGTCCTTTGCAGCCCGGAGCCCGTCCACAGACCTGCTGTCGCCCTCCCGTGCCCGCTCACCTTTCTCTCTGCCCAGGAACCGCAGGGCGGAGATCTCAGAGAAGGTGCAGCCCCCCAGGAACACCACCAGGATGAGGCGCAGGGACTCGCTGGGAGCCTTGTCGTCCTTGGTCCCGCCTGTGGAGGGCAGACTGGACTCTCCCTCCCTCCCTCCCTCCCTCCCTCCCTCTCTCTCTTTAAATATTTTTTAAAATTATATTTTATTGATTTTTTTTACAGAGAGGAAGAGAGAGGGATAGAGAGCTAGAAACATCGATGACAATCATCAACCAGCTGCCTCCTGCACACCCCCCACTGGAGATGTGCCCACAACCAAGGTACATGCCCTTGACCAGAATCAAACCCGGGACCTTTCAGTCTGCAGGCCGACGCTCTATCCACTGAGCCAAACTGGTTTCGGCTCTCCCCCCTCGCCCCCCTCTCTCTCTTTTGTTTAATCCTCATATGAGGATATTTTCCCATTGATTTTTAGGGAGAGAAGAATAGAGAGGGAAAGACCGAGAAAAACACACCGATTGGTTGCCTCCTACACAAGCCCCGCCCAGGGCCGGGGCCAGGGCGGAGCCTACGACTGAGGTACGTACATGTGCTTCACCGGACTTGAACCAGGACCCATGGGTCGTAGGCCAACGCTCTAACCACTGAGCCACACCAGCTAAGCCTGACTCAGCCCTTGCCTGGCCCCTGGCACCAGGGACGCGCCCAGCCACCTCTGGCCCGCCCGGCCCGCTGCCAGGGCCACGCACCTGTGAAGGCCAGCTCGCTGCAGTTGAGCAGCCGCAGCACCTCCTCCAGGCCCTGCCAGCTCCTCCGCTCCAGCACCTGGGGGGGGGGGGGGCACGAAAGTGAGTTTCAGGTTTTATTATTTATTTTTAAAAATATTTTTCCTGTTTTCAGAGATGGAGAGAGAGATAGAAACATCAGTGATGAGAGAATCATGGATCAGCTGCCTTCTTCACACCCCTCACTGGGGATTGAGCCTGCAACCTGGGCATGTGCCCTTGACCGGAATCAAACCCGGGACCCCTCGGTCCACAGGCCGATGCTCTATCCACTGGGCCAAACAGGCTGGGGCTGTGGTCAGCAAATGGCGGCTTGCGAGCCACATGCGGCTCTTTGGCCCCTTGAGTGTGGCTCTTCCACAAAATACCACAGCCTGGGTGAGTCTGTTTTGAAGAAATGGCGTTGGAAGTTTAAGTTTAAAAAATGTGGCTCTCCAAAGACATTTCAATCGTTGTCCTGTTGGTATCTGGCTCTGTGGACTAATGAGCTTGCTGAACGCTGGGCGAGGGCAACAGGATGGAGTTTGGGAAAGGAAGGTCGCAGTGGCCCAACCATCTCATTTCTTTTCTTTTTTAAAATATATTTTATTGATTTTTTTTTACAGAGAGGAAAGGAGAGGGATAGAGAGTTAGAAACATCGATGAGAGAGAAACATCCATCAGCTGCCTCCTGCACACCCCCCACTGGGGATGTGCCCGCAACCAAGGTACATGCCCTTGACCGGAATCGAACCTGGGACCCTTGAGTCTGCAGGTCGATGCTCTATCCACTGAGCCAAACCCGTTAGGGCCCAACTATATCCCATTTCTTGCTCGTTGGCAGGACGGTCAAAACTTGGGACAGGCCAGGGGCCAGGAGAAAGCAGAGAGAGTGAGACGCCTGGGAGTGAGGGTGCCGCGCGCTTACCTGCTCGATGACGCGGCAGCTGAGGGGCACGTAGGCGCCGCTGAAGACGTACGCCATGTCGCGGGGCACCTTCAGGTCATACTCGCCGTCTACACGCGGGATCTAGAGGGCAAAGCGGGCGGCAGCTCAGCTCTCCAGGCGTTTACAGGCTCGGAGAGGAGCGGCAGGCCCCCAGGCATGGTTCTTCCTTCTCATCCATGTTTCTAGTTCTCTATCCCTCTCCCTTCCTTTCTGTGAAAAACCAATAAATATACTATATATATATATATAAAAAAAAAAAAAGCTGCAAAGTTTTTTTTGTTGTTTTGTTTTTTAAATATATTTTATTGATTTTTCACAGATAGGAAGAGAGGGGATAGAGA